TATTAAATTTATGTAAGACTTTAACAAAAACATGAAATGCTGAGCCTGTTTCAGTGAAAGCTGTCTTATGGCATTATAATTTGGGTGTTGATTTATATCTTTAAGAAATCAGAAAGATTTCTTCAAAGTGCACTGATCATTTTACCATTTTAAAAAGTTCTATTATTTTTTTCTAATATTGTCTTGCAGCTTACCTCTTCTTTACTGTCTTGAAAAAATAATTTGAGAAACTGCAAGTCGCTTCTGGTGTGAGAGAATTGGCCATCTGTAAGGATGTTGCCCAGGGGACACCCGGATGTTTTACCATCTTGTGGTAGGCTTCTCTCATGTCCCCGCATGGTAAGCTGGAGCTGACATACGGGAGCTCACCCCACTCCCAGATTCAAACAACTGACCTTTCGGTCAGCAGCTCAGCTGGCATAAGGGTTTAACCAGTGGTTCTCAACCTGTAGGTCCCCAGATGTTTTGGCCTTCAACTCCCAGAAATCCTAACAGCTTGTAAACTGGCTGGGATTTCTGGGAGCTGTAGGCCAAAACACCTGGGGAGTCACAGATTGAGAACTGTTGGTTAACCCATTGTGCCACTAGGGGCTCCTAATAGATAACATGATAGCAGTCTAGACCATTTATACCAGGGGTCCTCAAACTTTTTAAACAGAGGGCCAGGTCACAGTCCTTCAAACTGTTGGAGGGCCGGATTATAATTTTTTAAAAAAAACATGAATGAATTCCTATGCACACTACACATATCTTATTTGAAGTGCAAAAAACACTTAAAAACAATACAATAATTAAAATGAAGAACAATTTTAACAAATAGAACCTTATTAGTATTTCAATGGGAAGTGTGGGCCTGCTTTGGGCTGATGAGATAAAGTCGCTTCAGACTTAGGTTGACCCTGAGTGAGGGCCGGGTAAATGACCTTGAGTTGATATTAGATAGGATTTTAATTCATTGAATTTTTAATTGTGTTTTTTGGTTAGATGCTAATTACGTGTGATGTAGATTTTTAATATTTTTATTAGATGTGATTATGCTTATGATGGTGCTGTTTATTTTTATTGTATATTATGTCATTGCTTTTTATATGTTGTTCACTGCCTGGTGGAGATGTAACCTTAATCTACTCTCACTTTAAGAGGGTAGCAGTGGTTCTCAACATTTGGCCCTCCAGGGGCTTATCATGAGGGGTTCTGGGAGATAAAGTTTGCTCATGCCTGGTGTAGATGTAGCCTTAATCTACTGTCACTTTAAGAGGGTAGCTGTGGTTCTCAACCTTTGGTCCTCCAGGGGCTTTAGACTACACTCCCCAGAAATACCAGCCAGCATGGCCTATCGTGAGGGATTCTGGGAGATGAAGTTCAAAACATCTGGAGAACAGAAGCCGGAGGGCCCTGATTTAGCGGGAGCTACTCTTTCTTTCCTAACCCCTTTTTACTTGGAGACCAGCTCGTATCCTGACATGATGTTGCCCATCTGGTCGGCGCCGCGTAGCTGGACGAGGCAGCCGTGGTGGCGGCGCAGGTGGAGGAAGTCGTAGGCCTGCAGCGCCGGGTAGAGGAACTCAGACAGGCCCATGCCTTCGGGGCTCTCGAGGCGCGCCCCGCAGCTCTGGCGGCTGAAGAGAGTGCCCATGAGCAGGCGGCCCCCCGCGCCGCAGAGGAAGCCCAGCACGGTCTCGCACGCCAGCCAGGAAGCATTGTCCAATAGCATGAGGTAGCCCAGGCACGCGCCCCCGCACCGCCACAGAAGAGCTGGCGATGGTTGTGGAAAATCCGCTGGAGACCCTCACGCAGCCCCTCCGACCGCACGCTCGCGCGCCTGGGTGCAGCCGCTGGGGTCGCCCAGCCGTGCTGTGGCCCCGCCCACCAGCAAGCCCAGGATAGGCAGGAGGTGGCTGGTGTGGAGCGAGTCTGCCGTCGGGTCAAAGCCGCAGTACACGGCGATAGGCGGGCGGCCATTGGGCCCAGGGAGGCGGAGGGCGGTGGCCCCAAAGCCGCTTTGCCCGCCGCCTCTCACCCTTCTCCCCACCCCGCGGGCCGGATAAATGCCCTTGGGGGGCCTGGTCCGGCCTGCGGGCTATAGTTTGGGGACCCCTGATTTATACATATAACCATTTTATCAATCATTATTGAAAGGCATAAGCCTTAAAATTACAAGAATCTTTGGGGGTGGGGGGAAGAAAAGCAGAATTTATCTGCATTGATCATTTGACTCATCACAAAAGATTTTGAAAGTTACATGGCTGAGAATCAGTATTCATATGTTCACAGATAGATTCGAATTTTGGTTGCACTTTGGTGAGTGTCTTGTGCATGCAAGCAAGCAAAGTTTATTGATTAGTCCACTGACCATATCAACATTAAAGACAAAAACAAAAACGTACACAAATAGACAATAATCACTATTCTAAGACTCCCGTAATAGTGAACTACCATACATTCAAACTTGATTAAGTTAAAAGGTAATTAAAAATTTCATCATTAAAATGCCAAGGTAATCTTTGGATAAAGGTATCACTTTCAAATTAGGTACATGCAGTAGTGACTGACTTTGAAGCAGTCTCACCATTCTGTGGTATTAATAACTAGAGGCAATAAGGAAGGAAATAAGTAAATAACAGATACATTTATTTGCGATGGCTGCTATGTTGAACTAAATTAATTGAAATTGGCTTAAGAGTTGCAAAGCTATCCAAAAACCCAGTGAGGGGTTATTTAAATTTTAAATTTAAATAGAAAAACATCTTAAATACACCGTTGCCATGATTCCATTACAGCCTAATAAAAATAAGACACAGTAAAACTGCAAAGTAGAAAAAAAATCAAAAATAAAGAATGGAAATCAAAGTACGAGTTAAAACATTTTGAAGTTTACATACTCTGGGAAGAGATTACCACCTGTTATGACATCATTGATATTTATTAATCTGTATAATTGTTATACTTGAACCAATGATATAACGGCACCTTTCAAAATGTGAATTTTCCTCATAACAGTTTTTCACAGCCATCTTTCTAAAGGGTTTAAAACACAAAGAGCTGTATTGATCCATATCTATAGGGGTGTTATATCTCTTAATAACCCATTGATGGCTAGTGTAGAGGGCCCATGTACACTAGCCAAATGAGTCAGTTTGCAGGTGAATGGAGTCTATGGCATTAACCTCTGTTCATCTTAATGGGAGAAGACCACTTAATGCTCAGGACCTCACCCACATTTTGGCAGGTGTAAACAGTTGAGCTGCTTCCTAGTTGGAAGTTTCCCTGGCTTTTTCATACCGCCATTATAATTTCTCTGAGCTCTGTCACCTGGAAATAGGGGACAGCTCTTACATACCCCTTGTTGATTTGGTTTTAGCAATGACCATCTGACACAAAACTGAAGATGGTGGTTGCTCAGTGCCAATAGTGATGCTAGCTGCAGTGATTGGTAATTGTGTTGCTTTGTTGTTCCAACTAGCACTACCACAGGCACCAAGCAACTATCACCTTGAGTTAAGAATGGAGCCCCTTGTTGTGCAACAGGTTAAACCCTTGTGCCAGCAGGACTGCTGACCGACAGATCAGCAGTTCAAATCTGGGAAGAGCGGGTTGAGCTCCTGCCTGTCAGCTCCAGCTCCCCATGCGGGGACATAAGAGAAGCATTCCACAAGAATGGTAAAACATCAAACATCTGGGCATCACCTGGGCAATGTGCTTGCAGACAGCCAATTCTCTTATACCAGAAGTGACTTGCAGTTTCTCAAATCACTCCGGACACACACACACACACACATTAAGAATGACAGAAGAAAAGTAAATGTGGTGGTCCAGCAACGCCAAACTGTTCGGGTGCCACTGGGCCATAAGGATGCCATCTAGCCCCCATTGGTTCGGTGGTTGGCCAAATGAATTTCAGCAATGCTGATCCAGAGTACCACACTCCAGATCAGCATCACCATTTCTGATCTTCTAGAACCTTGGCATTATTACTAAGAAAGTTTACACAAATCCATTGGTGCTGTCAAAATCAGAGCTATATTATGAGGACTGCAGCTCAATTTAGAGGGAATGGAGAAGCCTATGTCCGGTTGTGACATTATCCTCGCTAATCAGGAAGTCTCAATTTCTTAACCCTATAAACTGGCTACAAAGAGGATATAAACTGCTTCAAAAGAACAAACAGGTATAATGTCCCTCTGTGAGTCATCTGGAATGGCAATGGCCTATGAGAAATGGAAGAGATGGGAAAAGTTATGTGTTCTTTTTTTCATAGCTTTTCTTAATCTGTTGTGCTTGAATCCCAGTGAGCATCCTATTAAAGCATTTAAATGCTACTTAATCACAACAGGGAAGGAATGGACACATACACACACAATCTGACTATTCCTCTCATCATCACTTGTTTCCTGCCTTGCTGTGCTGTAAGATTAATGTCCAAAGTAGTGGTGAGAGTGGCTCTCCTACTTCCAGGGTTTTTTTGCCTAGTGTGAACTATGAAGGATCCTCAAGTGGAGCTAATCTCTCCTCTTCAGTTATTGTAAGGTAACATATGGAAGTCTCAATATAACTTTAAGTTGCTTTCTTGAATTCTTTTGTACTGTCTGAAATATAAGCAACTGTGTTTTGTGTTTAGCAATTCAATGTAAACCATTACCTTAATTTTAAAGTTGTCAGGAACAAAAGTGGGCACAACAAGGTAGTTAATTAGTAATATAACTAGATAGAAGATGTTTGATTTCCATTGTATTTGTTTCTTAACACAAAGCCAGAGGAAGGTGATATATAAGTAAAGTAAAAGGAATCAGCTTTGATAACATAAAGATAACCCTTTGTGGAACTTCTTGGTCTTAATTTGCAACTTCCATGTTTGAATTAGTAGACTGGACAATTTATTGTGATTTAATTCTTAGATGAGAGTTTTCTAGAAATAATTTAGCACTTCACATTAAAATGGAAAAGGTTACCTAACTTTTGGAAAAGAAACTGAGTTTTTACAGCTCTTTTTCTCCTTACAGTCATATTAACCAGAAAACCCAGTTTGAAAATCCAGTTCTGGAAGCTAAGCGGAAAAAGCAATTAGGACAGACTGATGTTGGTTCTTCAAATCCAGGTATTGTATTGAGTGATAACTCGGTGGCTTTCTACTAAAAGCTGTAATACAGAAACCAAGACCTACATACTGAATGTATTGTATATTCATGTATAAGTCGGCCTCATGTATTACTCGAGGATAGGTTCAGATGTCAAAATTAGAGATTTTGATGTTACCCACAAATAATTCAGGGATCATTTTTGTGGGGCATAGAAGGAGAGGGGAAAGGAAAGCACCAATCTTGCTTTGGAGGCCAGCCGCCCTCGGTGCTGCCATTTCCCAACCCAGAAATTCATAAAGGCCAGAAGTGGCATTGTGACAGAGAGTGCATACTTGTTTTAGGTTGTGTCAGGATGATCTAAGCTACTCAGAGAAGTTGGTTCCTTTTTCATAAGAGTTAAGATACAGTACTTATATTGACCTATGGATAAGTTGAGCCAGGTTTTTTGGGTTGAAATTTTGACTAAGATTTCTAGACTTGTACATGAGTCTTTAAGGTAAATTTTGTTGTGTAATCTGCAAAGCTAAAAATGAAATGCACAGATATAGGATGAGTGACACCCATCTTGAAAACAGTACATATGTCTGGTAAGCTCTGGTTGTTTTGTATTTGTATTACTGTGCCACTTCAGAGTGTTAGTTGTTAATTCATTCTATTCTTTTGGTTAGGTAACAACAAAATCGTGTTTAGCTTACTCTGTATATCCAAATTCATTTTAATGTCCTTCAGCTAAATAATGTTCTTTCTTCACCCCTACCTAATTCCAACTTGGAACTCCCAGTTAATTGGTTATGTCATACTTGAATTCTGTTATAAAGGTTCCAAGTAAAGAAAATCCCCAGGGAAGTTTTTCTTCTCAATGTTTCCTGCATTTCTTAGTGTGACTTTTCTTGCACTTGTTTAATGATATATTACTGCTATATTAGGTGACTCCAGCTGTAGTCTGCATTAATGAGGGAATGTCTGGCAAACTTTATGTTTGTGTGCAGAACCAGTGAAGTCTTTTTTCACTCGAGACCCATCCCAGCTGATAGGAGCACTCATTCGAACATCACTAAAGAAAAGCACTATGGGATTTGGTTTCACAATCATTGGTGGAGACAGACCAGATGAGTTTCTACAGGTGAAAAATGTATTGAAAGATGGACCTGCTGCACAGGATGGCAAAATTGCACCAGGTGAGGTACAATTGTTTTGTTTTTTCTTTTACTAATGGGACAAAAATAAATAAAAGTTTTTTACTGAGGAATTGTGACATAATTGTTTACATTGCAACCGGCATTATACACTACACATTAATCAGTAGTTGAGCATCAGAAGTGGTTCAAATTATCAGTTCCTTATAATTTTAGCATTTGTATTTCAGAAAAAGAATTACCTAGGAAATTAAAAAATATTTGAAATTGTGGATTTAAATGCCATTAATATATTATGGTACTAATCAAAAATATAGTTTTGACAAAATTAGCTAGCCACTATAGCCGCTAGTGAGCAAAGTACTAATATTCTAATTATGCGCATTAAGTATCTTAACTTTAACTGGTTATCTTTATCTCTTTTGTTTTGTAGGTTCGTTTTTTTGTTGTTAGTGATTCATTTCTGTTTACCATGCCTGCCTTTTTGTCTACTCTGTGTTCATTTATATTTCTGTTTATTGTAATTTTAAATTCCTCCTAAAATTCTAGTTATCCCTACAAGTTATACATTATTCCAGATATTTAGGAGTAATTCTGAATTTTTAGTGTATCAGTTCATAATTTGTAGCTGTGCAATGCTAGAATTGATGAGAGAGTTGTTATCCCGATTTTGTCAATATGATTCACTTTGTTTGATTCATGCTGTAAACTTTAATCTCTCAAAGTACCATTGTTAAGCTAAGAGAAAGGAAAATTGAACTTTTAGTCTATCTACTCAGGAAAAGATGTGCTTCAGATGAAGTGTTCAACAATGATGCTTACAATGAAGATCAAGGGAAGGGAACTTAGTTATGTCCTAAATGGAATGGTTTGATGATGTGATTGGACGATGTTTTTAACTAGGAGACCCTAATGATACATGTTTTTATTGATTCTATTGATTCTGTTATGGTTTTATTATTCAATTGTTTTATTATATTGAAATTGTATTTTATGTTCTTGGTACCAACTGTAAACTGTCCCAAGTCACCTGCGGGCTGAGAGGGATGGTATATAAATGCAGCAAATAAAATAAATAAATAAATAAATGTAAATACCCTAGCATGCAATTTGGATAATAGTCCATTGGTTAAGAGTTGCTAACAGTTCTTTGGTTTGACAAATCAAGCCTTCACCCTCCCTGGAAACCAAGATGACTAAACTAAAATTGTTTCACTTTGGACATGAGTCACTAGAAAAGACAATAATGCTTGTTAAGGTAGAAGACAGTTGGAAAAATAGGAAAACTGTCTCAGAGATCGATAGAATGAATCAATAAAGCCATGTCCCTGAGTCTGTAAGACCTGACCAGGGTGGTAGATGACAGGATGGCTCATTTATTCATGGAGTCATCATAAGCTGAAGTTGACTTGACAACTGTTAACAACAACACAACCAGAACTTATTGTCATTCATCATGTACAAAACCCATAAGGATCCGTTTCTTTATTCAGGGAGTTTTAATACTACCCTCTGATCTCATTTTGACTTCTTACCTTCTTCATTGTGCACTTCATAAATATGGGATTACTATCAGAATTTATATAAATTATTGATTTAAGGTATACTTTATAAGGATCCTTTGGAATTTTCCTTGTAGAATAATAGAATCGTGGAGTTGAAAGAGACATTGTGGGCCATCCAGTCCAAATCCCTGCCAAGAAGCAGGAAAATCGCATCCAAAGCACCTTTGACATACGGTTAACTTCTGCTTAACCTCCCCATGCTTGCCCTCTTTGTAGATTTGCAGGAATTTACCCTTATTTAAACATAGGAAGTATGCTACACTATCTCAGATACCCAAGCACAAGTACATGTGCTTGTATTCTACTTGAGAAGAAGGGGGCTGCAGTGTATGGAAAATCTGAAGTACCAGCAGAAAATATGCATGCAGTATCTAAACACGTGGTGCATGTGTCTTTAACCCCGTTTCTCAAACCCAGGCTCCCTTGAAAAGAAAGACAGAAGCCCAGAAAGGATGCTTCCTTAACCCATTCTTCAAACCCAGGCTCCCTTTAAAGGAAGGAAGGAAAGGGTCCTGGGAAGGATGCTTCTTTAATCCCTTCCTCAAACCCAGGCTCCCTTGAAAGGAAGAAAGGAAAGGGTCAGATCTGTTGGACTAATGTTTAAGGATGTTTAAATTTGTTGTTTGTTTCAATTATTTAGGAGACAACTGAAGTTAGGCAATAATTAGAATACATTTTTTATTCATATTTGATTGATATTAGCCACATTTCCTGCTTTTCATGCATGTAAGTGGGGGACACAAATGAGGAAGTTCTCCCAAAATAAAAGAATAGCATGCAATGCAATATAAGACTGGTGTTATGTCATGCATGGCTAAGAAACTAGAAACTAAATTTAGAAATTGTGAAGGAATCCGCAGCAGCTGTGACTTGCTCTGGTGTTAAACTGAAATTCAAAGAGACAGAATGATAAGATACACAACAGAGCATTAAAAATATCTGGCTCAGTCAGTTAAAAGTTTTGAAGTGAATAATGGATGGTGCTATGATTTGAGCTTGCAAAAGATCAATAACAAGTTGAATCTGATTAATCCAGCAGATTACCTCCTGTCAATATTCCTAACATTTGTGAGGGGATTGTGAGGAGAAGATAACTCTTGATGTTTCATTTACCTGGCCACACCTATGTTACTAAATGGTATTGACATGAATTTGCACACTTCACTGTGTGGGTTCTTTTGTCACCGCCATATACTAACAAGGGATGTGATGATCCACTTTAGTTGGGAAACACAGATCGGATTTCCACGGATTTTGAAGGTCCAATGTATATGGATGTCTTAAAACAAGTTTATCTCTTTCCAAATAGAACATAATTGAGATACAGGTTTAAGCTATTAAAAGTTACTGCAGAGAACAGAAACTATCTTGAATCCACATGTATTCCTAGACCTTTCATTTGAGGAGCACACTATGCATTTTGAAGGAACTTTAAGGGTGTCTGTCTTATAGGGACTGAGCCACGTGTTTTTTGCTCTCTTTTTCTTATCTTTATTTTGTGCCATATTTTCTTGTGTATTTACAAAAGAAATTCCCTATGTATATAGAAAAATAAAATGCCAAGAAGATACTTTGCATACTTAGCAGGAGTGCTGTTTATTAGACTTGTGCACAGATCCGTTTTAGCCAGGTTTTTTTTTTTTTTGGCTTCTCCAGACGGCCATAACAACAAGGGCTCAACCACCATGTTTTTTTCACCCAAAAAGACCCACTTGGATGCTGGGCTCAGCTTCTTCCCTTCTATTTGGGAGTATGTGGTGCATGTTTCCTTAAACCCTTTCCTCAAATCCAGGATCCTTGGAAAGGAAGAAAGGAAAGGGTTCCAGGAAGGATCCTTCCTTAATCCCGTTCCTCAAACCCAGGCTCTTTCGGAAGAAAGAAAGGAAAGGGTCCCAGGAAGGATGCTTCCTTAACCCCATTCCTCAAACCCAGGTTCCCTTGAAAGGAAGAAAGGAAGGGGTCTCAGGAACAGAAAGGGGTGCCTCGTAAGTTCCCCATTGCCGCCAATGGGCTGGATCTTTTGGCTGCCTAGCCAAAAACTTTTTTCCCCATTAGCTGATTTTCGGGAGGTTCCCGAAAATAAATCTGGGTACCCAAACAAATTTGGATACCAAAAACAGATCACTCTCCAGCTGAATTGCACAAGCCTACTGTTTATGAACTTGTCCATCATCAGAATGTGTGCATGGTATGATAAAACCGGTGGATGGAGATTTCTTTATGCTGGTTTGTTTTGTGAGCTGTTGGAAGTTTGTACACATATCCACTTGGATTTTGCTAAAAGAAAATATTTTTTAAGAGCAGAAGTGTTTTGTAATGTAAGAACTCCTTTTGTATAGCAATATATAGGAACAAGAGGGGTAGTCTGATTCATTTTGGATTGAGTTATACTGGTATATGAACTCCAGCATGTAACATCTGCTTATTCTAATGTGAGTCATATTTCCCTTTCAAACCCCATATGCAGTCATTCCCTGAGTCTCCCGGAGATTAAGCTTTATATATTTAGAACTCAGTGGTTTTAACAGATCCAAAATACAGATTAAATGTAAGTCAAATCCTGTTTTGTAAAGCATATGGACACATGGAAATGGTACAGTGTTGTTCATTATTATTTTGAGTAGTTCTCAATGCTTTTCCTTGGTAAAGCTACTAAGATTATTCTTATTATTGCAAGGTATGAAAATAGGGTTTTAAAAATATTAACAACCCTGTTTATTTTTAATAGGTGATGTGATTGTGGACATAAATGGTACATGTGTCCTTGGCCATACTCATGCTGATGTTGTCCAGATGTTCCAATTAGTCCCTGTCAACCAGTATGTGAATATGACTCTTTGTCGTGGATACCCTCTTCCTGATGAAAATGAGGACCCTGTCATAGATATTGTGACAGCTACTCCTGTCTTAAATGGACAGCCAATAACGAAGGGAGAAACTTGTCTCATTAATCAGGAATTAATACCTGGAACAGTGGTTTTGGACCAAAATGGAAAACCAGGACATATTTTGGTCAATGGACGCCTGAACGGGCCTTCGACAGACATTAGTGAACAGAGGGCTTCAGTGTGTTCTTCTGGTTGCTCTCAAACAGAACTGGTCACAATTCCTCTAATTAAGGGACCTAAAGGGTTTGGATTTGCAATAGCTGACAGCCCAGCAGGGCAGAAGGTGAAAATGATTTTAGACAGTCAGTGGTGCCATGGTCTTCAAAAAGGAGATATAATCAAAGAAATTTATCATCAGAATGTTCAGAACTTGACACACCTTCAGGTGGTTGAAGTGTTGAAGCAGTTTCCAGTTGGAACAGAAGTGCCAGTGCTTATTCTAAGGGGAGGTAAGAAATGAAAAATTTTAATATATCTTTAATTTTCTTTAATACACTTGGTTTTGTATTTACTGGTAATAAAACAAGTTGTGTAAAGCAGGATGTTTGTTCCCTATCCTTTTTCTAAGAGTGTTCAGGTATTTTCTATAGAAGTGTTCTGTGTATTAAGCCTCCCTTTGGAATAAACTTTGTGGAGTTAATTTTTTTTTTATTAAAGATGTGTAATCTATACATGTCAGCATTAGCATATGCAGTAATATAAATGGAAGGTGACTGAGTGCTGACAGATAATTTCTTGGTTTTTCCATCATTTGTCTCAGTTAATTGTTGATTTTCACTCATTTTGTTGTTTTGTTTCTTAACTTCTTCTTCAGGGCTAATTAATCAAATGTTTCCCATTAAATAGCTTTCCTTGTTGAGCTGTATTTTCCATTCATAAAATATTACTTGCTGTAGTTCCTCTGCAACAGCAGTTTGCACAGTTACAATATTCATGCGTAAATGGTCCTGATTGAAGTTGATACATTATACAGTCTTCTCAAATGTTATAATATTTGGTATAGTGTTGCTATTGTGTATCTAATTTGTGAGGATAACATTTTGTGAGGATAACATTTTGACATTTCCTTAGTATGAATTGATAGGATTAAGTTTTCCTGAGAGTATGCCACATTAATCTCATACCCACATCCCCTTAGCAACATGCTCTGATCATTTTAAAGTTCTTTTAGGCACTGATATTTAGGGTTTTGTTTTTGTTTTTGCTTTATTATTCTCTCTTCTATCCTGACATATAGTACTTGTTTGTTTTTATATTCGAAATAAATTTTTTATATATATACACACAAACACACACACATAAACAGTATATATGTATTTTCCATAAGTGAAGCTTCCAGTAAGCCTTTGAACCAATTGGAAGATTCATTTTGAAAACAAACTGTTGGTCACATCATGTATTAATAGGGACATCAATACTCCAGTAATACCGGCAGACATTCAGGAACTTGATGATGTAGCTGCTGATCTAAAGTTCTGCTGAGCTAAGTTATGGTTAACATATGCTTTGGCATATAATTTACATTATGAACAATATCTTCCCAAGACTTGTCACAGTGAAACTTCAGCTGAGCATTTAAGTTTTCTGGAGAATTCACAAACCATTGTGATTTAACTTGACAGAAGTAAAATACCTTTTTGAGCATATTATAAGACAATATAAAATAATTCAGTGGAAAAGTCAGTGCTGCTTTAATAAAGTTGAAGACAGTAGGAAATGAACACTGGTGGATTGGCACAAAGAAGTCACAGCCATAAGTTTACTAGACTTGTCCATTATTTAGGGAGGCCATCAAGATCTTCCTTTGCACCCTTCGTCATTTCATATAATCATAGAATAATAAGAGTTGGAAGAGACCACATGCATATCTAGTCCAATCCCCTGCCATGCATGAAAAGCATAAAGTTCCCCTGACAGATGACCATCCAGCCAAGACAATTGTCTTTGGAGAGTGTCAAGGTTTTTCTCTTTATAAAAATATGCAATAAACATTAGAATTCTACCATATATACTTGTGTATAAATTAATTTCATATATAAGTCGAAGGAACATTTAGGAGGCAAAAATGATAGCTTTTAATATGACCAGTAGAGAAGACAAGGTTAGAAATGTGGGGTTCATTCTGCAAAGAGGCAAAATCACCAGTGCTGCTCCTGCTATTTTCCCACCCAGATTTGCCGCTCTACTCAGAGAAGGGGATTGTTGCTTTAAAAAAAGTTAAGATAGAATATCAACTCTTATCCAACAAAAGGAACCATCTTTTTCCTGAGTGGAGAGGCAAAAGGTGAAAGCTTAGTGTGATGTCTCGGCCTGTTTATTTCCCTGGAGTTGGACTGTTCCATTTTGCCAAGTTTAGGGGAGAAGCTTAGGCTCCCCCTATAGGCCGAGCTCTTTGGTTCAGCCCATTCTGCCTCAGAGCCTGGTGAAAGACTTTTTGGCTCCATTCCTTTTGGTCATAGTTTATAGATAGTTACCAGAAAAGTGTCTGGTCTGGCTTGCAGTCCGAACAGGCCATCCTTATCACATGTTTGCCAAAGCTTATAGATAAATAGTTCATAGATAATACATATTTGCCTTATAGATAGTTCATAGATAATACATATTTGCCATAGAATAGTTATATTTGCCTTATAGATAGATAGTTCATAGATAATACATGTTTCATAGAATAGTTATATTTGCCAAAGTTTATAGATTTTAGATTAGAATATATTTGCCCCAGAGTTTATAGTTTGTTACCTCAGAGTTTATTTTTCACTAATCAAACTGCACTTTTAAACCTTGATTATTTAGTAAACAATTGTTGAATTTAGTCTTGTCTTTAGTGTTTTATTTTGAGGTATTAAAGTAATTTAGGGCATACCAATGGTCACTGGGAAAATAGCCAGACACATTTAGTTTCTCATTAGATCTTCCTGGTGTGCCATCATACTTAGCATGTCCCTGGCAAACCTACATTAATCACTGACCTCCTTTATTCTTTCTACTGTGGTACCACTTCTTTTTGAATATTTGCACAAGTGGCATTTTTTTTAGTGCTACCTTGCTTTGATATAGAGAACCGAGGGGGCTGGGATTCCTGTTATAGTAGGTTCTCCCCAGTCAGACTAAAGGCTAACTGTAGTCCATCTGGGGAGACCCTAAAAGATGCAATAATCACCTTCACTCCCCTCACCACTGCAGTGGCTCTTTAGTGCAACCTTATCTTGACATGGAGAGCAGATAGGATTGGTGCTTCTTTTATGGTAAGCTCTCCTTGGATTGGCTATCTGACCACTTTCCTCAGTAGTCCACAAGTGGCCCATTTGTCTCTTCAAAGAAGACAATGGAGGAGGAGGAGGAGGCAAGTGGGTTAGCTGCAGACAACTGAGGGCTAGTGATTGGGGACCAAAATGAAGCCAGAGAAGGCGGGCAAAAGATGAGAAACCAGCCACCTCTCCAGCCACAGTGCAGGGATCCAATAAAAGCAGTGAATAAAGAAACACCAACAGTGATGGGGAAGATTTGGCTGGAAAGGTAGCTGGTTTTTTATCTTTTGTTTGCTTTCTCTGGCTTCTCTTCATCAGTCTACTGATCAACTGCCTGCCATCCATTGTCTGCAGCCAGCCAGCTTGTCTCTTCAGAGAATATAAAAGAAGAAGGTGGATGATGAGACAAGCAGGCTGTCTGCAAACTAACAAGGGCAAGTGGTTGGGCAGTGAAGAGGTAGGGAAGGCAAGTAGAAAACAACAAACTAACTGCATCTGAAGTACAGGGAATCAGCAGAAGCAGTGAGCAAAGAAACACCAGCAGTGACAAGGAATATTTGTGACTGGTTGTCTTTTGCCTGTGTTCTTTGGTTCCTTTTCATCATCCAACCAACCACGCTCAGTTGTACATATCCATCCTAATTGTCTCCTCAGAGAAGGTGAAGAGAAAGAGAAGGTGTATAAGACAAGGGGGCCAGCTACAGACAACAGAAAGATGACAGGTGGCAAGGAGTAGCCCGAGAAGGCAGGCAAAATTTGATAAACCAGCTGCTTTTCCAGAAGCAATGAGCAAAGAAGCACTGGTAGGCATGGAGCAGATTTATATATCTAAACTGTTGTAAACCGCTCTGAGTCGCCAAAGGGCTGAGAAGAGCGGTATACAAATAAAGTAAATAAATAAATAAATAAATAAATAAATTTGGCTGGTGGTTTCTCGTATTTTGCCTGCCTCCTTTTGCTCCTTTTTGTCAACTGAACACCTAACCTTGGTTGTCCACAGTAGCCAATATATCTCCTCAGAGAAGGTGGATAGGAGAAGGGGAAAACAAGCAGGATAGGCAGTGAAGAAGAGCCAGAGAAGCCAGGCAAAAAAGGTGAGAAACTAGCTGCCTCTCCAGTTGCAGCAGAGGGATCAGGCAGAAGCAATGATCAAAGAAGCACTAATCTTGAAGAAGATTTGACTGGAGAGGTGAGTGGTTTCTTGTTTTTTGCTTGCCTGCTCCATCACCTTTTCACCAACCAATTGACTTACTAATCATCCTAGGAAAAGGTGGAAAGAAGTAAGAAGTGGATGAGACAAATGAGCTGGCTGTTGACAGCTAAGGGCAGGGTGGCTAGGCAGTGATGAGAGGCCAGTAAAGGCAGGTAAAAGACAATAAAACTTTTTCCTCTCCTGCTTGCAACACAGGAATCCAGCAGAAACTGTCAAGGGAGATTTCACTGTAGAAGTGTCTAGCTTCTTGCCTTTTGCCTACTTTCCCCGACTTCTCTTCACCAAGTGACTAGCCAATGAACTGCTCTCGGTTGTCCCTTGTCTCATACAAGGTGGAGAGAAGCAGGTGGGGGAGGAAAACCAAGGGTAGTCAGTTTAGGTGGCACCATTCCTTTTTGCACTCTCAGCCAAGGTAGGACGGAACCACCATTTTTCTGTCCAGGCATTCAAAAGGCCAGAAGCAGTTCCTCAGCAGACAGATGTACCACATTGACCTGTATGTTAGTTGACCCAGTTATTTTCAATTGATTAATATATGAGTATAAATGGTGAGTACTTGGAAATGACTTATATTGTTTCTTACCTTCTTCAAAACAGTAATGGAAATAAGATCTATAGTAGGGACATTTATAATACAGTGGGGCCTTGGTATCCATTGGGATTTGGTTCCAGGATCCCCTGTAGATACCAAAATCCATGGATGCTCAAGTGCCATTATATACAGTGGCATTGTCAAATGGCTTCCCTTTCGTAAAATGGCAAATCAAAGTTTTTAATAAAAAAAAATTCAAGCCATGGATGGTTGGCTCCATGGGTGCTGAATTTATGGGTAGAGAGGGTTGCCTGCACTAATTTTCCTGTTTCTCAGAGGGGTGGGAGGGACTTGGCGTGGTGGTCTGAATTGGTGGTTGCCCAAACAAGACTCTTAGTATATAAAATAATTATAGAATATAGCAGTGTGATGGTTTATATTAATATTTATTCTCTATTTTAGGCCCTTCCTCACCTGCTAAAACATCCAGTGTTGTGAGTATTGATAATGTGAGTACTGATAAGATATTTTCTGTAACGTACTATATCTTCTGTTTATGGAGGTAATTAGTTATTTGCAGCATTCATATTGGATGTCCTGCTGCTCCTGTTGAATAATTTTAATTAGAGTTTTACATATGTTCCTTCTGAAATAAAGATTTGGTTTAAACAACATCTTTGAGTGTAATGAAAAACTCTGAATACTTCAGTGTGCAAGAGAAGGCTGTCAGAAATTGAGTGTATAGCAATTGCTTTACTTATAATACTTATCTTTGAATGAAGATTTCTTTTAGCCATATAGTCCTGTATCTCTGGAATTGATTAAACAAAATGGCTGCATATCTATTTACATTTTCAGGACAATCTGGGAGTGAAATGAGTTCTGCTTATTGTCTCAATAGCATAGTGGTTCCCAACCTGTGTTATTAGAGAAAATGATAGCAAAGAAATGAATAGAATTAATCAGCAGCCTTTCTGTATTTTGCTTAGGAAAACCATTTTGAATCTTTTCTTTTATTGGTTTTCTGGAAATAGGAAAATTAAAAAGCATAGTATAGAAAAGGATTGGGGAGTTAATACATGCCAAGCAAACTGTGTCAGATAGGAACAAAAATTAAAGCGGTTGCATTTGGTTTTTCCAAAGGTTAGGGATGAGCTAAATGGTAAAAGTAAAATGGACATTTTTCTTCCATCTATAAACACCACTGCATAACTTTTCCAAAATATATACTTACACCCTAATAGAGCAAGATTGTTTAAAAAAACACATGGAGGCACTTAATCTGTTTTTAAACTTACCTTCTCCATGATTAAAACATGATTTTAGAAAAAAGATCTTTCCATACATCATGTGTGTTGCTACTTGTTTCTGAGTTATATGTGTGCACAATGACAGATGTCGTTAAACACATTCACTCTGGCAGTCTCTTCCTCTTTCTCATTTTTGCTGTCTTAATCTTTGATTTGTATTTTCAGTAGAGGGGTGAATGTACATTTTTCTTTTGTAATTCTGTTTCTTTTATAAAGTTTCATTGCTAAATAAGATTTTAAAAACTACTCTAGAGTGTGTTTACGCTGTGATTGCCATGGCTCCATGCTTTTTTTGATACTTATCCTATATACTCATGTATAAGTCTAGAAACATTCATCAAAAAATTAGCCCAAAAAACTGGGTCGGCTTATTAACAGGTCAGTGTGAGTACTGCACCATAATTTTTTTTCAGAAAGGAACTATTACCGTCAAGGCAAGAGCTTAATCTGTCCCAGGAGATCCTAAAAGAAGGAAATAATACTAACCCTAACCCTATAACCAAGGCACAGAAGGCAATTTACAAAATTAAAAGAAACATAGTATTTCTTTTGATTTTTAAAAGCTGTAGACCTGTATCAAACATTTGTTTTAACAAAGCATTCCATTCTCAAAAGACTGTAAGGATAGGTTTTGCCTGCTAACAGAAGAGCTTATCCTAGGGAGTGAATTCATGAGCTTTGGGGCAACCACCCATCCAGAAGGTTTGGACTGAAACAGAGCCATTATTTTGGGGCTGTTCCAGACATGTCCTATATCCCAGGATGTAAACCCAGGTTTTCTGTTTATCCCAGAGTATCTGGCAGTGCGGACTCATATAATCCAGTTTAAAGCAGAAAACCTGGGATCAGATCCTGGCATATAGAGTCTGTTTGGAAGAGCCCTTTGACTTGGTTAATATAACCACCCTTTCTGTCTGAGTGCCTCTGTCTTATTCACAGGTCTGCTTGCCTCAGTCATTGGTAAGTAGGTCAATCCTGGGACTGCCTTAAACTACAAGATGAGTCCAGCAGGGAAAAATATTGTCAATTGAATTGTTCTAAATTCAGACAGATTCTGATGCCTTTCGGGCATTTGTAGTAGCTCAGGACAAATAGAACAGTTTAATCTTTTCCCCATAAAGCCCTTAAAATTGTGGGTCTACTTCAAAAACTTATATGTGTAAAAATAATGACTATAGTCATGTTTAGGGAATAGGGCTTGAAGTTAATTATGAAAACACATTGGACAAAATAGTATAACATGAATTGTATCAGTGATTCTTTCTACAGTTATGTCCCTATTCCACATATTGCAGATTGAGAGATGAGACCCAGCTAATTCTATCTTATATAAGGCAGTGTAGTAGATTCAGGGACAAGTTGAAATCTTCACAGCACTAGTATAGAGGAAATAACATGTAAAACAGTTACAGAGGAAGAGCAAGAATATTGTGTGTAGAGTAGTCCATCTGCAATCCTTCTCAAACGTTATAGTTGGAAGCACAGTGACATCATTATCTTAAATTGTAGCAGAGATATATGGAAAAAGAGCTGGGCAGAATCAGTTTGTATGTGGTGACAGTTTAACCAATTTAATATCAAATATAAAGGTTGTAATGTCATCTCATGCTTTTAGATGTATGAAATGTCAGGCTCTGGACATTTTTAACTTATTGTCACTGCTGAAAAATACTTAAACCTCTTTAAAATATTTTTATTAGAATACAAATACAATTTCTATTATAAAACTACTTAATAGTCTAATCCACATAACAATAAACAAACAACCTAAATATAAACCAACAAAATATAAACATACATATCTACTTCAGTTATTAATAGTGACAATTACATACCTGATAGGGGAACATATAAGTCTTCACTCCTGCAATTATGTTATGTACTATATTTCCCTTCTTGTGAGTGATTCATTTAGACAGATATTTAATCTCCCATCTTTCCATTACTGGGCATATAAACAGTCTAGATGACATCATTTATTGAAATCATCTTCCCAGTTTTTTTCCTCGTTTTTGTATTTTCTAAAGTCCAAGAAGAAGAAATTATGGTTTCAATTGTATTTTAGTTTTTAAAATCTCCTCTCTCCATCCATAAATTTGGATCCAGAATTGTTTTGCTTTTTCGTAAGTTTACCACATGTGATAAAAAGTTAATCTTTTCTGGGGTTAAATACCTTTGCATCATTTTATAAAAATATATTTGAGAGTATAAGACAATGTGAATTTTAAATTTTCTCTTCACATTTCTCCTATTGTGCCATTTGTATATTGTGTCCTAAATTTTTGGCCACTTAAATCCCTTTTTAATTTTCTGCCTCAGCATTGGAACATCCATCACTCTACTACTCATAGTTAACTATGCAAATTTAGAACAAGAGAAATCTAAGCCTGCTGCTATAGTTTAGCATTTCAGCATTAAAGCATTCCTGTAAGATTTTCAAATCTCATAAGAAATTAATAATAATAACTTTATGGAACATTTATTGAATAATGTTTGCCTTGCTTTTTCTCTTATTTCTTTAAGCCTTTAAAACATTATTTCACATGTGTTGTTTTATTTCTTTCAGAAAGTAGATAAGCAGGAAAATTCAGGAAGCCAAGAAGCCATCAACGAGTCAGCCCCACATCCCATGCCTTTTCCACCTCTTGCTATGAGGTCGGCCTCCCCAAAGCTAGACCCTTCAGAAGTTTATCTAAAGTCAAAAACATTATTTGAAGATAAACGTGAGTACATAGACTTACATTACATTATGAACTTTTCAGTTGTAAAAATATTCTTTTCAAAAGTGATGTGTTCAAAATATATATTTCAACATTTCTCTCTTTCCACAAGATGTGCAGAGGTAAGCTATAACTGATTAGATTGGACAATAAAGCTTCAGGGAACAGCCTTCCACATATATATGAGCCACAGGTAAATGCAAATGGTGATCTGTTTTGATGAAACTGAAACAAATGCTAGAGGAATTGGGAACCCTAAACCATAGAAGATGGCTCTGATATAGTTCATTCACAGTAAACATGTTTCTCAGCTGCAATGTAACAACATTTTGTCAACATGGGTCACAGATTCTTTCAAACAATTGCAGGGTTGGTTTTAAAACTATCCTGCTAGTGGCTACAGCATCTGCCTGTGTGGTTTCAGAAAATGGTTGTGTATTCAGCAAATTTATGTTTTTCTGCCATAAAACTAATTTATGCATCTTGACCACATTAAAATGAACAATGTATTGATCATAGAGACTGTTTTTGACAGTTTATGACTTCAGTATTCTTTTCAGAATGTAATATTTCAAGGAAGAAGAGCACCTGGGTTTTTGTTTTTTTGTTGTTGTTTTTTTGTTTTTGTTTTTTTGGAAGATGTCTCGTGGAATATGGTGCATTTTAGAAAAAGATTGACCATAGGAATATGGTACATTTTAGAAAAAGATCCACAGGTTCATTTAGGTAACCTTAACTTTTTATCAAAAAGGAAACCATCCCCTTCTCTGAGTGGGGAATGGCAAGATCTTAGTCCTCATAGAAAACCTTTAAAAAGGCCCCAATCCTGTCTATTTCCCCTGCTGCACTGCTGGTTCTAGCCTCTTTGTATGTCTGGATAGTACTCGTAAAATGGTAGTGGTGACGGTCAAGGATAGCTGGCCTCTTGAAGAGGTGATGGTGTTTTCCAGATATTCAAAGAGCATGATAAAATGGTGGTTGGAGTGGGTGGGGGGGGGGGATAGTTCTACAGAATGACCCTCAACTTATCCGCGGCTCATATCAAAATCCACAATTTTGACCCCAAAACTTGCCCTTGACTTATACATGAGGTCAAATTGCACATGAATAGATACAGGATGTTATCTAAATGTGCGTGTCATCTAAGTTTTTAAATTCTACTACCTTGAAAGAAACAATTGTATCAACTGCTTTTGGGGGTTCTATTTCAGTTAAGGAAATGTGTAGTTGTGTGAGTCATCCATTCATATATTCACAAACTGCTCTGGGTTTCTTACATACATTTTTGGATTTGTTGAAAGAAGCAGAGAGTGCAACTAGAAAGAAGAAAGGCCTAGAATATGAAGCAGCTTTTACTTTATCTAATATACATATGTCATTTTTTTCTTTTTAGTCCATTTGTATCACACTAATGAAATTTGAAACAGTTGAGACATGTAATTTTATTTCAAAAAAATCACATTTAATAATATTTTGAGTTGTATATTCTTTTAATAGTAACTAAATAATTCCTGCACACCAGCAAAATTAAACACTAACAATGGCAAGATGAAATAGTCTTTAACCTGCTTTCTAAAATGAGGTAACAGGCAAACAATTATGTGTTTTATTGCTGGGATACCACAACAGAAAAGAACACCAACAAATCTCTCCGGAAAATTACATGGGGGTAGAATCTCCTGCGTGCTTTTCACTGCTAGATTGCTGGAGGTAGATGAAGATTATATGACTATTCCCATTCCCATCTTTGAAGTGTTCCATATGTTATTTTCATTGCTTTTGTTCTTGGTTATTCTGACTCTAATGCAAATAATCTAAGACTGTCCCTCAGAAACTCATTAGCTGGCAGAGAATTTCCTATGTAAAGTTAGGGGAGGGGAGCAATCAGCAGTCAGCTTCTGAAACTGACCTAGTTAATATTGTGTAACTGTCATCTAGATTTTGTTGGACTTTTCTCCCCTTCAGCATTTTTATCCTGATTTTGTTAACAGACATTTTGTACTATTTCTGTCCAAACATTTTTTTCTTTAATATTTCAATTTATTTGATTAGACATCTTTCCTATGTTCGGAGAAATAACTTTGAACAAATAAAGTGATTTAACAGTAAAGGGTTATTGAAAACATTGAGAGAAAGAAGTTGATTGCATACACTTTTGCACACTTCAGTCTACTTCATTAGATGCATATACATCCATTACACACAGTTTAACATTGTGTAGTTTCATGCCAATTGATAAAACTGCTACACATTCTATTTTGAAATAGGTATTGACACTGGGAAGCTTAAGTGTAATCTTTCCTCAAGATGACAAGTGTATAATGTGGAGTAGTTGCATCCTGGATTAATATTATCATAGAATCACATTTATTTAATTAAATACATATATTATAAGAATACCAATGGTGAATAACTTGATTTCACGTCAAACCTTGCAAATAAATTCACAACCACAAACATTTTCCAATGTGCCTATATATGATACCTCTATTGTTTTTTCAAAGTGTTTCAGCATTTCCAAAATGATAGAGAAGTGACATTGACCATTACTAAAATTATTCTCCTCCATGGCATGCTTGTCTGAATGTTTGACCATATTAAAGGCATGGTTAAGGGCGGGGAGGACTCTGGTTCCTGCAAATCCAAAGCCTCCCCTTGTCTGCCCATGCCATGCTTATGGTGAAGGATGTTACCAGCAATTCTGTGACATCTAGAGCAGGACTAGGTGATTGTCAGGAGCTACAGCATTCCTTCATTTTTGTTGGATCAGGGTAGTTTCCTGAGTTGTTAATCCCTTGTAGGGAGGGTTGGAGGCTGAGGACACATCTACACAAACTACTTAATGCAGTTTGAAAGCAGCTTGACAGTGTGGATGATGAATGCCATCAACATCAACAGCAATGCACATTAAGAACTTTACACCAGGATGAGCAAGTTGAGGGAAACCCTGAAACAGAGCCAATAATGCACATCAGCACCCCTGAGTGTAAATTACATTGCATGGCAAACCGATTAAAGGACAGCTGCACCAGCAATCCACACATGCACATTGCAGCAGAATTAGATATAAAAAAGATTACTCCATGGCTGTGGAGTTGTGGGTACTGTGGATTTTGGAACTGGTTTGAGGCTACCCTCTGCGGTACGCATAAGCACTATCTGGTTCCAGGGCTTCCAATGATTCAGCATGCACACAATTAATTTTTCACTACAAAATAGCCATTGGAGAGTACCATTGACCACTGGAATTAAGTCCATCCTCATTTTTTCTCAAGGCCTCTAGACACCTTCCTTCAGCCTGTGCAAATCTTTCTTTAAAATAGGTGCCAAATGGAATAAGAAATCCTTTCCTTTCCTGGTTTTAAGAAAGGCTGAAAAGAAACTTAAAAAAAGAACAAAGAGACAGTAAAATATGAAAGGCCCCCCAATATGTAATAGCTAGTGGTATGCTTCAGGGCTTAGTGAGTGCCAATAGTCATTGGGGGCCAGCCTGCCTCCCCCCTTCCATTTGGGATGGTGATGATGTGATGGTGGTGAAATTTGAAGGGGCTGCTAAAACAGTCATGGGCTTTTAAAAAAAAAACCCTGCTGAACTTAGAAGGTATGTTACCTATCTTAGAATAATTTTTGATTTAATGCCACAAATTATTAACTGTCATTTTTAATAACGTGAAAAGTAATGGTTTATAATTGATTTTTCTCTTCTATAAACCAATGTAATGATTGTTTATGTTGTTGTGTAATGACCATTTAGTTTCTTTGTGCAGACACAGTTTTTTCTATCTTTTTAACTAGCTCCAAACACGAAGGATTTGGATGTCTTCCTTCGGAAGCAAGAGACAGGCTTTGGCTTCCGGGTTCTTGGAGGAGATGGTCCTGATCAGTCAGTAAGTAAACTGCTGCTTATTTTGGGGCTAAGTAGCTTATGCCCTTAATGTTGTCTTCATTACTAAATTACTCTTCTATATTATAGCAGTAGTTCTAGCAGGTACTTCTAGCAGGTCATTCTTTTTTTCATCTAATATAATGGTGCTGAATAGGAATAATACTTACATAATACCTTACAAGTTCTGCCTGAAATGTATGAATAAATTACTTTTAATTTTATTAGATGTATTGATAAGAAATGTTTGGTTGCTGGTTGAGATAAGAACTATTGGCATCCTTCACAAAGAAGACATCAGATTCCCAGATCCCTAGATTTACACTCATTTTAAGCAAAATAATCACTGGGAGTGATACGCATTAGCATTTGAAAAAACCTTTTGAAAAGCAATTTTTTCATTCACTTACTATTGGGCAAGAGAGATGAATTCTTCCATAAATTTATTAGGAAAAGTAGAGTGTGTATATCAACATAAATATATATGAAAATAAGCATAATTTAATAGACGGGTTCAAATCTCGATACAGGAAAAGTAATTATGCAAATGAAGAACTGCTAATTAAGTACATACAATATTTATTTAATTATTGACATTTTACCAAGTCCCTTTATACAGTATTGGGAATATTTAAAAACTTGATGAAATGACAGAATTAGTCCTGTTAACAGGTGTATAGAAGATGTGATGGCTTTAAGCTGGAGTATGAGCTTTTTAATGGCTTTCTTAAATACATGTGTATTATAGTGATCATGTCTAATAACATTTAGTTGACATACGTATATGCTCGAATTGACATCATTAGCTACATTTTCCTATTTTTCTCAAGCAAAAGCCAGTGGGGATGAGTAAGCAAAGCTGTACTATGAAGTCATATCACAAAAATGCTTCAACTAAATTTTACCAGGTGTTGGTGGATTAGTTAACTCATAGGCTATCACTTGTTTTGAAGCATTCTCTATTTCCTGTAGTTGAATATCCTTGCACATGGTCTATGTTGGAAATATTTTTTAAACGCTCATTCTTGTGCTGCTTCCAACATTAAGGCCAGGATACACAGATTCTACTATGTGAGCAGATGTAGTATCTGTACATGCATGTAGGAGGAGTTATGAGTTGCTTGTTTCCCTTCCCAAATGCATACTTTCAGGTTAGATTTCATATAGTAACAAAAATCTCTGACCCTCAAAAACAGCTTCAAAGTAGGTTTAAAGAGCTGCAATGAGAAGAGGAGATGAGAAAATCAGTGGTTTACCCACTGAGCACCCTACCTGATCCTGCTTCTCTAGATAAAAACAAAAATAAACTACTATTTGGTCAGAAATTGTTATACATTTTATATGTGTTCATTATGTCATGTTTAGGGCTTTTGAAAACAATAAGCTGACTAGTAAGAATGTCTACCAAAACTCCTGTAGGTCAGGTTTTTTTTAAATTGACACAACCTGTTTCAAAGGCTTTGATAACAAATTTATAATAATTGACATATCAACGGAGTCATCTTGTCTCTCCCACATCTCTTGTCATGAAAAGTTAACATAAAATAAATTTCTTAATTTTTTAAGATTAGTGTTTTGATAAGTTTTCTTCATTTCTAACGAAGACACCAAAAATAGAAAGACCTCTGCGTATCTTTGAAGTCTTAGTGATATATAGATAATAAAGTTAAAAGGACATTATCAGTCAATAATTATTACCACATCTTAAACTCAGCTGAGATGAAAACAAGTTTTAGCAGATGCTAATGCATTGGGGCTGTGTACCTAGGGATAGCATTTCAGGTAGAAGACAATTTGCTGCATTTGCAAAAAGACTTCAGAATCCAAGAGGCAAGCACCTATTTCTTGAGTGCTAAGTAATGTTAGAAATACCATTGTTCCTAGACTTCTCATTTTTGTTAAAGCTAATCACACACATATTTACATTGTAATTGGGATATGGATTTTTGGAGTGAATGTCCTTTCATACTTAAATATGTTCATGTGTCTGTATCCTTTGCTACTAGATCTACATTGGAGCCATTATTCCACTGGGAGCAGCTGAAAAAGATGGTAGACTCCGTGCTGCAGATGAACTGGTATGCATTGATGGTATCCCAGTCAAAGGGAAATCACACAAGCAAGTTCTGGATTTAATGACTAGTGCAGCACGAAATGGCCAGGTGCTGTTGACTGTTCGCCGAAAGATCTTCTTTGGTGGTAAGTGCCATTAGCTATCAGTTAAGCCTCTTCTTTTGCACTTGATGTTATGTGATGAAGCAGTATATTTCAGCCACTTTGAGTCTCATTTGTAGAGAGAAAATTTGGGGTATAAATAAACAATAATAACAACAACAACAACAGTAATAAAATGTTGTCCACTATTTTTGCCACCTACTTTAGAAGAGTTAAAGTATGTTGAGTAAAAGAAAAATGACATAAATTGCTGCAAGACAATGTGTCAGTAAGGCACAGTTAATACTGTATTTCTTCTGCAAAGAATGTAGTTTTGTATTAGCTGCAAGGACAAAAAGCCCATCTGTTGAATCCAGATTGATAAATTGTAGTATGTATAATTCAAGCTCCAGTTATTTCAGTAAGTCTACTCGAAGCATGACTCAGCCTGGATCCAATCCTATATATAGATTTAATTTAAGAAAGCTTCAAAGGGAAAATGTCAGAGGGGACCTTCTTAATCATTCTTCATCATCCTCCAGTGATGCTGAGATAGGATTGCCTATGGTTCAAGAAAAGTGTTCCCTCTTCTTTACTTGGCAGCTCCGAATGTTTTTGGACAAACATTTTTTTATAAATTTTATTCATTTTAATCATTCTGTGAAAAAATAGTAGGGGAAGCAGCTGAACCCAAGAGGTGATTTCCATGAATGTCTGGACTTAATTCTTTTTTTGTAGCCTCTCCATGACCAGATATTATTGAAGGGGGTTACTTATCAACATGATTCTTCACTGACTCATCATTGGATCCCTTCCCATTTGGGGACAAAGATATTGGCAGTATTTAGAAACACCTGGCTTCAATTCTTGAAAGTAGATTTAGACTCACTGTCTTGCCAGTGTTTGTTTTACAATCTCTAATCTTTCTCAAAAACCTCTTGATGCCTGTTTAGGGATGCAGAACAAAAAAAAACCCTTAGTCTCTGAAATGGAGGCAGAATGCTAAAGGCTGATTCCTTTGTGGCTACAAGTTTTCATATTTCACCAACTTTAAAACTAATTGGAAAACTTCCAAAACTACCAAGATAAATAACACTTTCACACATCTTAGACTGATGCTCTTAGCCAACAAACAACTGGGAAACTTGTATGCCATGCCTCATTGTGCTACAAGGATAACTGTTTGTTTCTGATACTTTTGGGGTGTGAGTGAAAAAAAATCTACACATTGGTATGACATTTGAACTGGAGAGAGCTTCTGTGAGTAAATTTGGTGTGCTGTAGCATAGCATTAGACATTACTCTTTGAAATTCATTTTCTTTGTTCTGTACTAACTGCTGTCAGCCAGAAATATGATACTTTCTGTCATCAGAAAATACTGTCTGAGAAGTTCATTAGAGATGTTAACCTTCTTAGATGCAGACACTAATCTCCAGGAAGCAATGGACGTGATGAGAGTAATTGGATTTTATACTAAAACACAGGGTACATCGGACATCTAGCCTGACATATCTTCAAATTCGAATCATGGTTATGATAGCCAGGACCTATGGAAGCAGCAGGTCAGCATCTGGAGAGCTGTTTGTGCTTCAGATCAGCATTACTCAAAGTAGTGGTTCATGTGCTTGTGTTGATCCCTGAACATCTGCTGACAGCTCCTGGAGAACTTTCCAGAAATAATTGTAGCCAAAGGGTGCAAGTGTAGTACCAGTCCCTGACACACTGTGGAAGAGTCACTTACTAGTCCCATATTAGATAGAGTAAAAAGTACTGGTGCCAATAATATCTAGAATTTGACCAAGATTATACTGAAACTGGATATGAGTCAGCAGGTCCTACATGTTCCATAGAAACAAAAGTTAAGTTTAGCATGGAGTTCAGGTCAACTGTATCTTATTCAGCCATTTTTTCTCCTGGTTTACTTTCTTTCCTGTGCTGCCTCCACACTAATTCCACTTCATGCAAGGCTGATAACTAGGGATTTTCCAGAATTCCCATTGCAACTACCCAAGCAAGTCTATATATAGCACTCTTTACAAATAGTCTATCCACTATTGAAACAGTTTGTGAGCCACTGTGAACCACCACTGCCTGCCAGATCAGCTTATATTTTCCATGTTACCTAGTGGCTGAGTTATGAATAGAATCTACCTGGTCTGTTTCCTTTGTCTTCCCAAAATGAGAAAACTGTTGATCATTCATTAAAATAAAACATCTATAGTAGAATGGAAATTTTTAAGCAGCAAAAGGGACATTAACAGAAGTTTGTATGCATTATATTTGTATTTTACCTGCTGGCTGCTGTCAGCATGGTGTTTTATAGAACTATGAGATCAGACTGAGTGTAAGCAACCACCTGGAGAGTAGGAAGATATTAACCAAAGAAGAGCAATTTTTGTCTTTGAACCTCAGCATTCATTATCAGCTTATATTATTTTGAGACAGCTGTGTGTACTTCATAGTACTCCTTGAGTGCACTGTTGTTACATTGCTCCTTAAGTAATGGAAAAAATTGTTTAAGCTTCAAATGGACTGGAGCCATGCATAAAGGAAAATAGTTTGCAAATCTTATGATGGATGATTCAATAGTCTTTAAATCCCTGGAATAAAGTTTTGAGAGATATGCCAATAGGAGAAGACATAACTATTTGCAAAAAATAATAATGTTTTAATTGAGACAAATCTTTATTTCTCTAGTGACCAAGAATATGTTACTGATATCAGTCCTGGAATTTTGATACTTTTGCCAAATAATGTGTTTGCATTCCCTGCAGTTTGATATATACTACAGGGACCTTAAAAAAGATTCCAGAGTATAAAATAAGGAGAAATTAGTACATTGCTGTAGAAACATAGAATAATAGAGTTGGAAAAGACTGCATGGGCCGTCTAGTCCAACCTCTGTCATGCAGGAAAAGCACAATCAAAGCACCCTAACAGATGGCATTCATCTTCTACTTTGGTCTGTTTCTCTTGTTAGTCTCCACATACTGTGTGTACTTTACAGTTATTTAAATTCTATTTTGTGGTATAGTTTTAAAGGCATTCTGTTTTATAGCTGCTCTGCACCTATATCTTCTTGATTCTGTCAAATACAGCGGTGTTTATTACTGTTAATTTAGCTTCATATTGATAATAACATCCAGATTATCTGCTTTGAACTGGATTATATGAGTCTACACTACCATATAATCCAGTTCAAAGTAGTTAATCTGGATTTTGTATGGCAGTGTAGAAGGGGCCTACACTGACCATATAATGTAGTTTCAGACTGCATTATATGACATTGTGGATGGAACTTAAGTGAGAGAATGAGGTTGATAGCATTCGCTTTCATAGACTAAGTGTCCATCTACATTTGTAATATTAATGCAATTTGACAAATTTTTAACTGCATTGGCTCAGTGCTGTAGAGGCATGGATGTTGTAGTTTGACATGGTCTTTAGCCTTCTCTTTGAAAGAGTGCTGGTGCCTCACCAAACAACAACTCCCACAATTCCGGTAGCATTTATTCATGGTAGTTAGAGCAATGTCAAACTACCTTTGTCTACCCTGAGTCTACTCTCTTTGCATGTGAAGAAGTGAACTTAGTCTGTGAAAGCTTATGTTACTAAATATCTTTGCATATTAATATTCCAGAGTGACACAGCGATGTCTTGGGATTTGCTGATTTGCTGATTCATTCATGCTCCTATTTTTGTGGTGTTTGTAGTAGAGAAGCAACCAGAAGAAGACTCATCATCTCAATCTCAAGTTGCCATTTCCTCCCAGAATGGCTCTCCTAGACCAAATCGAGTAGAGCTACTTAGTAAACAGTTCTCAGAGGCATATGATGTTTTGCTACAACGAAAGGAGAATGAAGGTTTTGGCTTTGTGATCCTTACCTCGAAAAACAAGCCACCACCTGGTGGTAAGTACCTAGAGATCTCAGCGTCACTTCCCAGTATAGGTGAGCTGTTACCATCAAGCACTAGCACTAATATATTGGGAAATGGTGACCTATTTCCATGCTTTGGTCACATCCAAACCTGCCTGTTATTGGAATGCCCTTGAAGACTATTCAAACAATAGTCTAGCTGCTGTCATTTGACCCAGGTGAATTTTCCATCATTGCTGATCACATCTGGAATGTGAAAATAAATAAAGACGGCTGAGATTTCATCATCCACTTCCTAACAAACAAGAAATGGGAAACCACTAACTTCAAAAGCACTAACCTCTGACCATTTTCATGGAAAGAAAAATTAGAAATATTCTATTGGCTATAATTGGAAGTTGTTTTTTCATCATTAGTTTCTGATTACACTATGTAACAAAATTTGGGGGGGAAATCTGTTCCTGGTTTGAAAGTGTTATTCTTGTTCAATTGTTTCGGTACTTACTTGTGTGGAAGTAGTTGTTATACTCCAGAAACTTCATTTTTGTGGCTGCCACAAACTATGATGAATTGGTTGAGACTTAATTGAAAAACTATAGTAAAATGTGCTGCAAGATGTTTTTATGATGGAATCAGTTAGGAAATGACATTTATAATCCAGGAACAAAAATTGTATTACATAGTGTTATTAAAGCAACCACTGGTTGCAGGTCAACTGAAAGGAGGCAGTGTAGACAAACATGCTGCCCATTGAGAAAAAGCCAGAATTCTCACCTATTCTGTTTTTTTTTGGTACATCTAAATATATCTCACTGCTTCAAAACTTCATTTGGCGCAAAAGACCAGCTTAATTGCTATTTAAGCCTGATAGTTAGGACTTGCACCCTTCAATATATACAGGTTGAGTATCCTTTTTTCTTGTAGGGGTGTGTGTGTGTAAGATAAGAAAGATAGTGTCCATGGAGAAGATCATTTGTCCTGTGGCACTTGCTTTTAGAATTGCCTCCCATTATAGCATCAATTCTTGTGGGGTTTCTGTGCCAAATAAAAATATTTTTGTGGTCCCATATTCCACAGGGGAGTAAATATACTTTTTTACCAAATTCCCTCTGTGTGGCATGAAGAGCATTTTCACTATGTGTCTAGCCCCCAAATCATTTTAAACCTAGGCCATGCATTTTTTTAAAAAGGAAGTGACTTCTGGGTTTATTATTACATCACTCATGGCCAAGTATTATTGAATTCTGGATAACATTCTGATGTAAAGAAAGGCATCCCTCAGATCTGAAATGATCCAGTGTGTCCCTCAAAATGGCAAAAATGCCCCAACACAGTCTATTCAGAATTTTGAATAAAAAGATAAGACTTTTAATGTTGAAATGTTGAGGGGAGGGATGGTTTCCGAGAGGTCTCTGCTAGTATGCGGGGTCCCACAAGGAGCCATTCTCTCTCCTCTGTTATTTAACATCTCTCTCCTCTGTTATTTAACATCGCACCAGTCGGGCGACCACTTGCCCGACTGGTGCGAAACTTTGGGCTTGAGTGCCAAAAGTACGCTGACAACACTCAGCTCATTCTGATGATGYCGGACCGGCCGGACTCCGTACCCGAAAATTTCCATCAGTMCCTTGAGGCCGTTACTGGATGGTTGCGTGCCAGCAGGTTGAGAGTGAATCCAGTGAAGATGGAGATCCTTTGGCTGGGCCGTCCYGGTGGGAGGGAGATCCAGCTGCCTACTCTGCATGGTGAGACACTACGTCCGTCATCTTCTGTAAAGAGTCTTGYTGTCTTATTGGACAGAGGCCCAGGTCTCTGRTGTGAGCAGATCTGCGTTTTTCCATCTACGTCAGGCTAGGCGACTGGCTCCCTACCTATCTAGGAACGACCTGGCTACAGTGATCCAGGCAACGGTCATCTTGAGGCTTGACTACTGTAACACCCTCTACATTGGCCTTCCTTTGTCAGTGATCCGGAAACTGAAGCTGGTGCAAAATGCGGCGGCTTGTCTTCTRGCTGGGGTGRCGGCAAGGTGTCGTATCACCCCAATTCTCCAACAGCTGCACTGGCTACCGATTGAGTACTGGATCACTTTCAAGGTGCTGGTACTAACCTTTAAGGCCTTATATGGTCTGGGGCCGACGTACCTGAGGACCCGCTTATCCCCCTACCAACCCCAGAGATTACTTCGGTCTTAAGACCAKAATTTGCTTGCAGTCTCTAACATCTGGACCTARCATTTGTCATCTACTAGGCATAGAGCCTTCTTGATTGTAGCCCCTTATTTATGGAATGCCTTGCCAGTTGAAACTCAAACCATCCGAGACCTACTTGCTTTTCGGAAAACCTGTAAAACTTTTCTTTTCCGGCAAGCTTTTGATGGGTGAGCAACCCGGGCTATGCCTGTCCTCGCTGCCTATTGTTATTGCTGTGGTTATTTTTAAAGCTAACTGTTGTTTTAATCTTTTTCTGTAAACCGCTCCAAGCCAAATTGGGGGTAGCAGTATACAAGTTAAATAAATAAAAATAAAATAAATAAATGGGAGGAGTACAACTTTCTAAGATCTCCTGGGAGGCAGTACACTTCTCTAGCCTCTGACAATTGTGAAACATAGTGAAAATGCTCCTCATGCCACACAGAGGGAATTTGGTAAAAAAGTATATTTACTCCTCTGTGGAATATGGGACCACAAAAATATTTTTATTTGGCACAGAGGGCCTTCGCACAATTAAAACTTGTGTGCCAGCTGTGACCATACCTCACGAAGTCTGACTTGACCACGGTGGTCCATGCCTTAGTTACCTCTAGATTGGACTATTGTAATGCACTCTACATGGGGCTTCCCTTGAAGACGGCCTGGAAACTTCATTTAGTCCAGCGCTCGGCAGCCAGAGTTCTAACTGGGGCAGATTACAGGGAGCGGTCAACTCCCCTGTTTAAGGAGCTCCACCTGCTTCCGTTCATCTTCCAGTCCCAATTCAAGGTGCAGGTCATCACCTTCAAAGCCCTAAACGGTTTGGGACCCACCTCCCTTTGTGACCGCATTTCCTACCACAAACCTACAAGATCTCTTCAATCTTCTGGAGAGGTCCTCCTCTTGCCCCTTCCACTATCACAAGCCCAATTTGTGGGTACGAGGGAGAGCGCCTTCTCCGCTGTGGCCCTCCACCTTTGGAACCCGTTACCTGGGGAGATCAGGCAAGCCCCTACCCTAGCAGCCTTTAATAAGGCTTTAAAAACTTGGCTCTTCGAATGCGCCTTCAGAGAGTGACCACTCAACCCATTTGTCTATTTCCATCTACAGTTGTCCCCTCAATAAAGTACCTTCAGCAGTGACCAAACTCCACTGCTTCTTGGGCTTCTCTCTCATAAATGCACTTTTTATTCCTAACTCTCCCAGGGTTTTAAGCTTTTAACATTTTATCTCATACACCTGGCCCACCTTCTGTGTTTGATTTTATTATATTGTTTTATATTGTTTATTTTATCTGTTATTTTATATATTTTGTTACGATGTTTTTTCCTGTTATTTTTTGTCTAATTGTGTTGCATTATTTTGGGCTTGGCCTCATGTTAGCTGCCCCAAGTCCCCTTTGGGGAGATGGAGGCGGATTATAAATAAAGATGATGATGATGATTATTATTATTATTACATTCACACTATAGAATTATAGCACTTTAACTGCTATGACTCCATCTTATGGAATCGTGAGTTCAGCAGTTCATGGAGGTTCATTTAGAATTCCCAGCCAGAGCCCCGCAGTGCCTCACTACAAACCCTAGGATTTCATAGGAAGGGGCCACCACACCACACTGTGTTTGGATTTTTTTACCTGGTTTCAATAAATAGACTCCAGATAATGGAACTGACTAATTTTTATTGCAATATAGGATATATTGGTACTCAACCTGATTACATGTCTTCAGCTCAAACTTCTGCAAAGGACAAGAGAATAGCCTGAAGGACATTTTTAAAAATTAATTTGGTAATCCATCTCCAAATATTTCTACAATGGTTCATGTTCCAGTAATTATAATAGAAACATTTAATGTCTTGTAAGAATATATTTGAAAACCAAATTGCTGTTGCTATTCATCTAGGGTTTTCCTTCTGTAAGTATCCTTTGAAATATTTTAGAAAGGATGTTGATTACGTTTGTTCTGTTCCTAAAATTCAAATAGAATATGGAGAATGGAATGACAGACATTTTGAAATCCATCAAATTACTTTCTGCAATCTTTTGCTGTGGTGCAGGTTGTCTCTTTTTTTCTAGTTTGTTTATTTATTCATTTTTTTTCAGCAGATATTCTAATAACATTGGTGGCTATTACTGGAATGGTGTCTGACTCTCCGTAGTTTGGGTTGTTTTGAGTTTTTTGGGCCGTATGGCTGTTTTCTTGACATTTCGCCTGCATCTTTGGCTGGCATCCTCAGAGGTTGTGAGGATCTTCTGAGGATGCCTGCCATTGATGCAGGTGAAACGTCAGGAGAGAATGCTTCTGGAAAATAGTCATACAGCCCGGAAAACTCACAACCCAGTGATTCCAGCCATGAAAGCCTTCAACAATACTCTCTCCATAGTTTACAATTTTCAGACTTTCTATGCTTTTATTTTTACAAAAAGTTTGTTCTTGAACTCCATTTTAAAGTACCTTGCCACAGTGCACTTTGTGAAATAGGAGGTGGTTATGAAAAATGAGGTACAGTTGTAGTACTAGGTCACTATTCGGAGATTCTTCATTCTCCTTTCTGAAGGCAGTTGCTATGGAAACGATTGGAACTGGCACTGTCACCCTCTGATGCTGTAGAATTGATTATGTGCCCTGAGTTAGAAATATGAAATATGATTTTCATGCTGCCTAGTCAGAGCTTAGACGGCATCAGAGAAAAAAATATTGTTGATAATGAAGTCAAATTCCCCTGTGTAATCCTGATGTCGCATAATAAAACATTATTGTATTTGAAAAATGATGCAATTGAAAATATGGAGCTTCTGTAGAAATTCATGGAAGATAACCAAATACTTATATCAACATTGTATGGCCTCAAATAGTAGGGCTGGGCTTTGGGGGATTCTTTGGAGGTATTGTTTATTGTTTACACTTGAGTGCCTTTTTTTACAGTTTGCGGTTAACCTGCTGTGGTTCATGTAGAGTTATGGGTCTCCTTATATGCAGTGATCCTGCAGCTAACACTGCATTCATAATCACACATCGGTTTTGGGTTTATAGTCAGAATGAGATTGAATTAAAATTTAGAAGAAATGCAGAAAAATTATTCATATGGCTAGACAGCTATTTCATTGATTGCAAGTTTAACAACACCTTAGTTTCACAATGCATATGACTTTCAGAAGCTGTATGAAATTTACTGTCATTGTTTGAAATGCGAATTTTGCTAGGTATATCTTTATCCCGTCTTTTTCCTTCCTGCAAAGTATGGTTTATGATAAAACACCCATTGTTAAACTCAGCCTTCCAGTTAGGTGTGAGCTTTTTTTTAGTATGGAGAGTATAATCTGTGATACTGACTATATTTGTAATAAGGATCCCCTCCCTTTATTAAATTGGCACAAAATTTATTTGATACTCTTTGTTGATATTGTCGCCACAGCAAACAGAATTAAATTTTCAGTGTTCTGTATTACAGTAAGTCATAGAAGGAGCATGAGCAGGTTCAAGGATCCAGGCAGACCTACACCTCTGTCTGTTTTAGGCCTTTGGGAAAAATAAAATGATGGGAACATAAACAGATGGCTTTCAATGTAATTTTCACACAAGAATACCTAAGTTATGGAAGGAAACATCTGAATCTAAGCATTGTATATTCTGAATTACTGAACAAATGGTGTGATTCCAGGAGATTGATTAAATGACCTTCAGTGAAGTGAACATGGTTTAGATTTTATTGAAAAATGACCCAGATAAACACAGATTAGACAACTTGACATCAATAACTAGTAAGATAGAACAAATTTCATGTGGAAAATCGAGTAATTATTGTCAAAAATAATAATTTCATTTTCTCCAGTAGTAGCTGAACTTGATGGAGTGTGCAGAAAATTTCAGAAGAAAATCATTTATCCTACTTTCTCAGAGAATTTGAAGACAGATGATACTTTATTTAGATATATTTTTTGGTTATATGTAGCAGCAATCACCCAAAGTTTCTCCATAAACTGAAATAGATAGATTTGTTAGAGAATATAATAGCAGTGTTATCCCATAGAGGAGACAGAAAAGCTAGGGTTTCTGGAGTTATTTATATATTGTAAAAGTACAGTGTGTATGTGTAAGCGTATATATGTATATGTATGGATACACGTACACACACACATGCATATTTGAATATATTTGTATTTATGATTCATATTATCATACCTATATTTAGACTTAATTTGAACATATTGAAATATGAGGATCTTAAGACTGATTTATATAATATGTGATTGTCAAGATTTCCAGTTGAATATCTAAAAAGTACCATATATGGAACAGCTAAGTATTATTTACCATGGTTTTAGAGTGGAAATTAAAAGTTGATTGTCATTAGACTTGATCATACAGTTTTTACAGGTATCAATCCCACTGTTGACTCTCAGGAAACATGAATATCAGGATAATATGAGAATCATTGACCAATTTTGATGTGAATTGTAGTCTTTATCTTCTCAGGAAATCTCAAGATGATATGATTCTTAGAAGTGCAAATAAGAGTTTCTTGCAAGAACCTCTTAGCATCCTTTTGTATGCTAGTATTAGGAGAGAAATGGCAGTTTAACTGTTATATAAGAGCGGAACATGGAAAAAAACTTATGGGTTAATGTTACTAGACATGATGGTCATGTATAAATATGTGGGAGGAAGTCATAGGGAGGGAGGAGCAAGCTTGTTTTCTGCTGCCCTGAAAACTAGAACGTGGAACAGTGGCTTCAAACTACAAGAAAGGAGATTCCACCTGAACATTAGGAAGAACTTCCTGATTGTAAGAGCTGTTCAGCAGTGGATCTCTCCCCCAGAGTGTGGTAGAGGCTCCTTCTTTGGAGGCTTCTAAACAGAGGCTGGATGGCCATGTATCGGGGGTGCTTTGAATGAGATTTTCCTGCTTCTTGGCAAGGAGTTGGACTGGATGGCCCATGAGGTCTCGTCCAACTCAACGATTCTGTGATTCTGTTAAAAGTAAACTTCTTCTAAAAGTAAAATACTTCAAATAATGCCATTATTTATAAATGTCCTATTTCCAAATAATGTGTACAGGAGTTTTTACTATAATACCTAATAGGAGTTCCTTTCTAATAATGAGTACTAGAGGCCAATAACCTTTTTTTTTTTTATTTCCAGTGATTCCACATAAAATTGGCCGTGTCATTGAAGGAAGTCCAGCTGATCATTGTGGAAAACTGAAAGTAGGGGACAGAATCTCAGCAGTGAATGGTCAATCAATCATTGACCTCTCACATGAAAACATTGTGCAGCTGATCAAAGATGCAGGAAATACTGTCACACTCACTGTTGTTGCTGATGAAGGTAAGGATGTGTCAGCTACTCATATACTTTTGTATCATCATATTGCTTCAGACAGTGTCATGCACAGGTAACAATCAGGACTTGTCAGCAACTTTCAAAACCCTTTTTATCTTTTTGGGTCTGTAAGCTGTGTTAAAGGTTGAAGAGTACTGTATTTCAGTGGCCCTACTCTATAGTGAATTCCAAAATGTGGTATTGGAAAAAATAGGCTTAGTTCTGTTACTTGGAGGCCTGGGAAGTATCTGTGCTGTATGCTGCTTTCCTTCACTTTCAGCTAGTACATCAACCGCGACTTCTCCTGGGCTGTGCAAAAGCTTACCTAAATGGGACTATTGTAATTCATTTCCTTTGAAGCCTTCTTCAAAACTTCTAGCTTGTACAAAACATAGCTACAAAAGCTAACCAGGGCAAATCTCTCTCAAGAATTGGGGCCAAATGCTTACAGAACCTGTAGTTCATCTATTCAACAAAAAAAAATAAGAACCATTCCCTCCTCAAACAGTACAAGCTACTTTTGAAACACTACTACTAGAAGATTTGAGTTTTAAAAGTGCAGATGTGAAAGCATTGTGTTTTTCATTTTTGTCTAACTCATTTTGTGGGAATTCGATAATTAAATCTGACCACTGTCTCATCTTCTTCCCTCACCTTTTCTCTTCAATCTTCTTGGCTACAAAAAATCTCTGTGCTAAAAATCTTCAGTAATAAAATGAAAATTATTTTTATATATGAAGAAATCCTGTGTACTGTTGTAACATTGTTTTTATGTAGCATTATTCCCTACACAAATAACTTAGTATAAACATGTAAAATCCAATCATTTCAAGGGAAGTTTTGATTCAGTTCAGCAAACTTGTGTTTTTCCAGACTGTGTAGTCTTGCTATCATTATTTTTTAAGAAATTAAGTTCGTCACCATTTTAAACAACTAACAATGGCAGCATGCCTTCAGAATTGTTCTCCTAATTGCACATTGACCACAAATATTTAGTATGTTATGTGTTATATAGAATATTAAAGACTTTATTCGCCATATTGAACAAAAAAGGAGGGGTTTTTTATGACATAACCTAATTATGATGATAAATGATAATTTCCAACTTTGTTTCATTTTAAACCAAATGACAGTCAGTAGTAAACACAGCAAATACGATATTGACAATATGCTGGTCTGCTTTGTCCTTGACTTTGAATCATTGTCAACTCGAACTACTTTTTTCTGTTAATACCCAAGAATAAGCACCCACTAACAGGAGCTTGTTTTCTTGACATGCTGGAAGTAAAATCTGGAGATAACAATATATGATTTTAAATGACAAATTATTTTTTTTAAATCCCACTTATTAATCACCTACACTTTATGGTTGAGGAGATGTTTCCCATGAACTGTATAATTTAAGGATCTATAGAAATATATTCTTAAAATAACTGCTTCATATGAATTTGAATTTAGGAAACTCTATGTATGTAAGAACAGTAAATGTCCAGGTCGCAACAATGTTTATAGTCATATTGCTATGGAGGGAAAGTTAATGCAAAAGACCACAGAGCCAATGTCACACTCAAATGGTGTCAAAACCAAAACAGCAGCAGAATCAGTATCTGCCATAACACTCAGTGTCATATTTTCTTTTTTCTGTTGTGTTCTCATTAATGAGCATCTCTTAAACTGGAAATCTTAATGCCCCTATACAAAACTCTACTCTCCTTCTCCTTTTAGCACAGAAAAAAGCCAAAAATTAGCTCTCTTCCCCTCCCCCAGTCTCTTTAATGTGAAGAACAAACAAATTATGCTTCATGCTCCAGAAAGCATTCTGCTAACATTTTGCACAAAACAGAAGCTTGTCAGCCCCAGTCATGTAGAAAGTAAAAATTCTAGGGAGAAAAGGAGAAGTCAAGGAGAGGGGAATGTAAACAGACAGATGGCCTTTTCCTTACCTGTGCTTATTAATTAAAACTCTGAATATAGACCAGGAGAAAACGTTGACATTTGTCTTTGTGGAAAAAATTCTTCTAGGCATGTCATAGTAATAAGCTCAGGCAAACCTTTGCTGGATTCTACAGGGCTGTACATTGCTGGGAAATTGAAGTTAATAACCTACTTTGGGGATCAGTGAAATGTACGATTCAAGGGCATTGACATTACCACACGGACCCGTAAATGTGAATACATGTTATATGCCAGAAATTAACTTGGTACACATACTTGCTAGCATGAAATATCCAATAGCATTTTCACTTCCTTGCTACTCAGCGCTGTTCTCACTCAACTAAACTCTTAACTGAGAGATAGGTTTTTTTGTTGCACCCTGAAGAGCAGAAACACATGTTTAAGCTTACACTTAGACTTGGTGTCTAATCATATTTTTTCAGAAAGTGTTTCTTGAGTGAGTCTGTTTTGATTTATTGTCATAGTCAGTATGTATGTTGCATGGGAGTCAGAGGTATGACTGAAGTTTTTTCAGATAATTTGCTGCCCAGTTTTGCTGCTTGTAGTGATTTGAGTACAACCCAGCTTAACTAGACAAGTTCCTCAACAGGCATTTTAGGATTTTAAATGGTTGTTTTCAGTTAGTGATTGACAACAACATCGTTGTTGTCTGTGTAATGCCGTGGAAAACACAAGAATATGTGCTGCTGTCCTTCGTTACCTACATATGTATATGTATACAGCATATATATGTATGTTTGCTGCCATAAGTCCTATTCTGACACTTCATCACGGTGTAGGTGACACTTTTGTTTCAAAGACTTTATCAGTAGAATTGGTTGGTTCTACCAGACTGATAAGTCTTCAAGTGTAGCTCCAGTGGTGAACTCTACAGCCTGATTCCTATTAGGACTGCCAGTGTGAGTCCCATTCAACATTTGATTCAGTTTATTTGCTCTGATTGGAAGTATGAATAAGACTTAGGCCCATGACTGCCATCTGAGGACTAGCAGAGCTCACTACAGATAGGTTCATTGCCATCAGGCTAACAATCAGGTAGTTAATTGGTCACAATAGCTGTAAACATAAAGATGCTATATAAAGTAGCAGTCTACATCAGTATAGACATTATGATAAAATCAGCAGCCTTTAAGGTATATTTACTACATTGCCTCTAATTTGCACTTCTGCCTTCATTAGATCACCGAGGTCCCCCTTCAGGAACAAACTCTGCTAGGCAGAGTCCAGCCCTACAGCATAGATCTATTGGACCAGTATCGGGCAGCTCTGGGCCCAATGACAGGTACAAAAACTTCTTTTATTTTCAGATTGCTGGAAAACAAGGTGTTCTCTCTAGGTTGTGGTTAAATGGTTAATGGCAAATGGCAAATTCATTTTATTTAGGTTTAATTATTTCAGCGTGCAAAATAGATATTGCAACATCTCCCTTCAGATGCCTAGCAATAATCTAGGACAGGTGGCCATAGGGCCATTTTTGCCTTGATCCAACCCTGTGTGGACCACATAACCACCATTGCAATAACTACAATATACTTTCCAAGAGTTTTCCATTTGGGAGGGAAAGTGAGACAAAATAAGGATGCAAACCTGTATCATCTTTGGAGTCTATTGTGACCAAAGTAACATCTTTTTTTAGACACTTTGCAAAAATTTAAATTGAAAGGATGAAGAGTCAGGGAGATCATGGGATGCACAATATTCCTTTTTTTTGGGGGGGGGGGGAATCACTTGTGGCTTGAGGACTCCATAGTTCCTGTTTTTGTTCTAGCGCAAATTTAAGAACAATTATATGCCCATCTTAACATACATGAAGTCTAGAGGATGTCCAACAGAATTTGCCTCAGTTTGAGCTGGGCTACATCTTTTGCAGGGGTGGGGGGCAGCCTGTAGAATCAGGATCTGTCTGTTCTTCCCTTATATCAACACCCCTTCTATGTTTGTCTTTACATATGTTCTCTTCATCTATACTCTATTATAGGATTTTAGTCTATATTTCTTGTTTGAGAAGTAAAGAATACAGTCTGAACCTGGCTTAACTTTAGTAGGTTCCTGTGGAAATTCACTACAAACCATTTTGGGGAGAACACCCATGTGCTACACATCCTTGCAGATCTCTTTTGTGAAAGTATACTTGATCTGAATATACAAACCTAAAGGTCTTGACAGTAATATGTCTTAGACATATTTGTTCATTTACACTCATATATACTCAGAGCTATCGAAAGGAGACATTTATTAAATAGCCAAGAATCAAAATACACACAAATATTATGATAGAGCCTCATAAGTCATAAACAGTAATTGGATATCTAATTAGTTGTGTATAAGATAGGTGCTTCCAAATGGGAAAATATTATTTCAGATAGCCAAGCAAGGCTCATAAGGTTTTAACTTCCAAACTGTAATTATGTTACTGAGGACTGGATTCAGATTGCAAGAGAAGGCAAACAACTTGAGGTACAAAAGTACTTTTGAGGAGAAAACCGAATGACAAGAGTTCTGCCAAAAGGGAGATGGTTGTATTTCCCCAAATCACACACTTGCACACCATAGAAAGAGGTGCCTTCACATTGGCAGGCACAGGCACCTGCCAATGCACAGAGAAAATGCTCTCAAAGAGTAGCATTTAAGGGATGATAGAGATTACCTGTCCTGAGTGTTTCTAGGCCTTCCTGAGAGATGTTATGTATCATTACTATTAACTGCATATATTTACCGCTCACCCCTGGGAGGACTCAAAGTGGTTTACAGCATTATTATCATTCTACTGGAACATTGCAAAAAAGAGAGATCTTGGCAGGGCTGTCAAAGATGGACAAACTAAGCCTGGACAAGATCCAGGACTAAGAGAAAAAATAACCCGATGTGATTCACTAGCTAAATCCCAGATTCTTACAATGTAAGAAATAATAATTCTAGGGATTCCTAAAGTTTATGATTTCTGTGATTTCATCTTAAAATGAGTCAGTCAAAACTTAGTGAATAATTTCAGCAAGAGACTTCTAAGACCAGAAGGCAAGCTATAGGGCTCTATGACAAAGAATTGGAGAGCAAATTTCTCCCCCAAAATGGAAGTACAGTAGCTGAGTACTTTAAAGTTTCCAATATGCATTTGGGATGAAAATCTTATAAGCTTTACTCTTCAAGATTTCATATTTTTAAATTTTGCATTTTCTCCAGATCTTGTACCAGTTTGCCAGTGTGATATTATCAGTATGATTTCCCTCAAAGAACTGTTTTTGACATGAAAGGTGTCACAATGGGGGAATGCCTTGAGATATTAATTGAAGTCCAAGAATTTAATTAGAATTTCTGACCCCTCCAATTCATGACAGTGGGTAATATTCTGCCTTTCCTTCCATTAAGGATGCTGAATTCAGGATTTGGCTAGAAACACTTTCATTTTCCATCACTAGCAGACACCCTCCTTTGTATTGCAGTTCTCATATGCAAACAAGTAAAATTTTAACAGGGATATTGTACAAATATTAGCTTGCGGCAACAGTCCTAATAAATGTAGTAAGTATCTTTACATTTCCTTCTATTTCAGGTGTGCTACAGAAGCTGATGGTGGAAAAGAACAATGCAACAATTACAAGCACTTCTCGCCATCAGAGAGTGTTGTCTCTGTCATAGGGAGCAAGCATTCTCAAGTATATGGTCTTTTCTGTAAAGTTCCTATTTAACTGTTTTCCATTGTGTGGACCTGTATTGTTCTGTAGCAAATATTTATTTAGCATTTGAACCGTAATCTTCTACAGAATTAACAAAATCCATGATGTCTTTTTTAATTTGGAGGTTCTGCTATACTGTCTATAATATATAATCCTTTATACATTGAAGTATAAAAATGTAAAGACATATCTGCAAAATATGTGCAGGCCATAGTTTTAGGTCAATGCAGGAACTCCACTGAGAATTTTGAAGGAAAATATGGCCTTTTTAGTGGGGGGGGGGGGGGGGGGGGGGGGGTATCCCTTAGGATATATTTGTTCTTTCCTTTTAAAAAAACAGAGGAGAAAGGTATCTTTCAGTTGCATGACTTATTTCTGCTTAAAATTAATGTTCTGAGGGGTGGGGTGGAAAAGATGTGAAGATGCTATTAATGAGCTGTTCTAGTTAATTGGTTTGATAGTTAGAATATGTTAAAGAACAGAAAAATGCAAATGTCAATTTCTTATAAATACTACAGAGTTTCATAGAGCTTTCACCAAGGGTGATTTTCTAATGAGCTTGAAAACCACGAATGTTGGTCCACATATTTCACTTCAGTTTGTCTCTAGCCCAATATTACAATAGTACAATATTTATACATATTTATAATGCTTCATCCACTAAGATTTCTTTACATTTCCATAAGTAATAAAAAAGAACAGGTCAGTTGTTTTAACAATGCTCCCATCACTTTTTTAACTTGCAGTCCTAAACTCCTAAAGAAACTGAAAAGTGCATATTTGTATTTTGTCAAAATAGTTATTCTCTTTTAAACCATATGTGGATTGCAATGGGAGTAGAGTCTGTGTGTAGAAATCATGGGGAAACTGCTAAAATAACTAATAGAATGATGTTATGGGTAAGTTAAATATTGGGCTAAAATTACAATTGTGCTCTTATATTTTCCTCTGAAATTCGTAAATAAAACATTTATCTGACAAAGAGGTGAACATTTTCCCCAAAGGTGATCTTAGTCTCTCTACTTTCTGATCAGAGTCCTGGATCTTACCCAGTAGAACTAGACAGAGGTCCTCGGGGCTTTGGATTCAGCCTTCGGGGAGGGAAGGAGTATAATATGGGACTGTTTATTCTTCGACTTGCTGAAGATGGACCAGCCATTAAGGATGGGAGAATTCACGTGAGTATATAGTAACCTTAGATTGTGAAGATTGGGCAATCAAACTGATATCTTAGAGCACATGGGCATGGTGCACATGAATCTATTTAGTGGCCAGGGGACTAGGGCGCCTGGGCAGAGTCTGTCAGCAGTTCTGTATTGAGAGGGTAGCAGAAATACTACAAGTGAACCTAAAGGTGTGTTTAGACCTTGTTATTAATGGCCTGCAAAGGCAGGGTTGTAGTTACCTTAACTGAGTCAACCACTTAGAGGGTACCATATGAAATATAAATGTGATGGAACTCAAAGACCATTAAATTCAAGAGATGGCGTTTTTACAGCAGGCCTACACAACATACGACCCAGGTGTCAGATGCAACCCCCTAAGGGATTTAGGGGAAGGCCACAGGGAGTTTCCCTCCTTCCCCTCCTTTCAACCCCATTGAAGCACTTCATTACTCTCCTTCTCTTCATTTTATCCCCATTGCAGCCCTTCATTCCTTTCTCCTACATTTGGAGGTGCATACACTGTCGAAATATGCAGTTTGACACCACTTTAACTGCTATGGCTCAATGCTGTGTAATCATGGAAACTGGAGTTTCACAAGCTTTGGCTTCAAAAGAATGCTAGTGCCTCACCAAAATACAACTCCCAGGATTCCATAGCACTGAGTCATAGCAGTTAAAATGCATTATTTCTGGATTCATTCTGCGAGATTTTGCAACAAGTGGTTTTTTTAAAAAGGAGAAAAGCAACTTTTTGAAAGTCTTGATTCTCCCGCTCTGAGACCCCCCTCAGTGTTTTTTATTTACCAACAAATATGATAAATAAAAAATAAACATGGTAGAATCAATGCAGTTTGATATCACTTTAACTGTCCTGACTCAATGCTGTGGAGTCGTGGGAGTTGTCGTTTGTTTGGAAAACAGTACTCTTTGGCAAAGAAGGCTAGAGATCATGAAAAACTGCAACTTACAAATTCCATAACATTGGATTCGGTCTGCCTTTGCAATTTCTGGGTGTTTTGGGTCCGGGGGCAGGGCAAGTGCTCAAGCGGCACATTAGGGATGTCTATGCACAGCTGGACCTAGAGAGCATAGGTAGGTCTTCAGCCACAAGGTTTTTAGCTTCCCACAAAAGGAATATTCATTTAGAGCACTACCTAACTATTCCACTTCCTCTACCCTTAAGAAGAATATATACTAGGGCTAGGTTTGAACAACTCGGTACTATGGTGCAAACCGGGCGCTACTGTAACATCCCAAGAAGTGAGAGATTCTGCATCTGGGGAGAACAAACAGTGGAAGACATTGAACATTTCTTAATTGACTGTCCAGCATATACTGAACTGCGAGACAGATATTTACATCCAATATTATCCAACTGCAGGTCCCCCAACAGAAATGATATTCTGACATCCCTCTTGCAAGGGCAGGAAAGATCCAGCATAATCAGAGTAAGCCTTTTTATTCTGAAAGCTATTAAGAAAAGAGCAGATTTCCTGAAAGAAGAACCAGGAAAATAAGATTCTGACTATAAATAGAAGGTCGACTGCTGTCTTCACCTTGTTGCCTTGTTTTTTACTCGTGTCCTATTTTGAAATGGTCATATGACTGATCAAATAAATAATAATTATTATTATTATTACTATTATTATTATTATTATTATTATTATTAACATTGAGCCTGGGTAGGTAAAATGGGGCCAAACTGCATTCACACTATAATTTAGATCAGACATGTGAAGGGTGGATGGGGTAAGAGAGGAGGAAGGGTAACCTGAGGAGTTGCAGGCAGTCAAGACTGAGCATGGAGAGGAGTGGCTTGAACTTAATATTGGCCCATCACATCTGTCAATTTGTTCAAGCCTGGTTTACAGGATAGGAACAGAGTGACCCATTCGCAGCAGCAACCATTGGGAATAATATTATTTTTCTAACCTTGATATGTTAGGTCAAGTATGCAATCTGTTTGAATCTAGGCAGAACAGAATCAAAGCAGCTAACGCTTTTTAATTTTAACAATTTCATTTCTCCCTTTGAAGCGTTCTTGCTAGTAAGGTGACCTCAGCTTAAGTGTCATTGTGTCCTGGGATACTGAAATGTTCTACTGATTTCTGACATCTAATTTGTATTCATTTACTTTCTTGGCTAGTTATTTGTCCTAGATAGACAGTAGAAGGGCAGTGCTGACAGACAATGACTGATGTTGTCTTAGGATAGGTTGGTCTATTCAAGCATTTCTGATGTTTTTAGGATGCTATTATTATGACAACTTTGGTAATATCACTAAGGAATAGTTTCTTCTTAATGTTTTTTGGGGTATCAGTCTTGGTCCTGCTATTGTTTTTAAGAAGACTCAGTGTATACTTCATATGGTATATTGGCCTATATTTTTATAATTAATGGGTTTGTATCTGGGCCATATAAATATAAGCACAAGAAATCCTGCTTATTCACTGGATGGTGCAAAGAACCAATTATAGTCATGGACTGCTTTTCTCCACTGTCACTGAATGGCTCCTCATAAAAAGAGTACCAATACTCTACTTAATTGAATTAGAAAATACTGAAATATTGAAACCTTGCAAACTCTTTAACATTGGATCATTCCTGCCAGTTTTATAAACCGGCTGAGATTAAGCGTGTGAACTCCTTTATATTTTCATTTTAACATGGTATCTATTGAACTACGCTTGCTCATTTATATTTTAGGTATGCATCCCTCTTTCCTTGAAATTGATCCCTAGTTTCCTATTTTCTGTAAAAATCACATTTTTAGTTTTATTGCATTAGTCACGTGATTTTGTTAAGCAAAGAGAAAACTTCAGTTTTACAGTATAATTCTCTGGGTAGATGAGAAATCTGACTATACAGCTTCTCAAAATGCATTTCAAATAGTATATACATTACATGGTAGAATTCTTTTGCAAATGTTATTACAACAGTATAACACAGGGGTAGGGAACCTTCGGCCCTCCAGGTGTGGGGGACTTCAACTCCCACAATTCCTTGAGGCTCGTGTAAGCCTTTGGGGCGAATGCCGAGCCTCAAGGAATTGTGGGAGTTGAAGTCCACCACACCTGGAGGGCCGAAGGTTCCCTACCCCTGGTATAACATATGAGGAACTGTATTAGTTTATACAGGCAGCCAGTCACCTCCAGCATTCTGTACTCATAGTAGTCTATATGAAGCCTACAAGCAGAACAGGAATGGGATAACTCTTTCTTGCTCACGTTTCCCAGCAGCTGTGTGTGTGTGTGCGTGTGTGCACGCCTTTAAGTTACCTGTTGGATACTGAGAGATATGACACCCCAATGACTAATAGCCATTGAAAGCCTTATTTGGAAATTTAATGCCTTCCAGTGTTGGTGGCTATCATAAGATCTTGCAGTAGTGAATTATGTAGTTTAACTATGCAGTATTTAAAGAAGCACTCACTCCCTTAGGTCTGTCCTCAATTCCCCATTATTAAGTAAACTCTTATGCTACAGAAGAGATTCAAGACGGCAATCTGGGAAACCAGCTTGAAATCATCTGGATAAGAATNTTAGAGCCTGCCTTCTGAAATGGTAGCCGGCACCCTGCTGTATAAAGTGAGATTGGAAAATGCTTGTGAACAGAATTTCATTTCTGCCTGTAAAAACAATAGTTTATTTTTGAATATGTGTTAGTGGGAAGGTGGAGAAAAGCTTCTTTCCAATACTGAAATCTAGTACTGAAATCTAGGAAGTATGTGGCCGCCATGACTCCTGACATTTGCATAATAGACTGGGTAAGCAGATAGAGACTATAGCAGATGGAGGCAATCTCAGCACTAGCTGAACATAAAAGGCTTCCCTTTGTGAACAGATTTGCTCAGTTCACAATTATCTTTGGATTGACAATGTGGACAAACAAAAGCCAATTGTTATATGGATGTTATGAAGGAAGTAGTATTCTGGCTGCAATCGTAGTAACCCCTGCTGACAAACTGGCAAAACCAGAAACCAAAAAGCCAAGAAGCAATGAAGAGGAGCTTGCTCCTTCTATTATGTGCAGAAGAGGGATTTCCCAGACTGCAAATCATAGTAATAGTTAGGAAGCTTCCTCTGCATAGATGCTGCTGATATCTCTGTAGTGAGAAATAGGAATGGGTACTTACACAGGAAATTCTCTGCCTGGACATTTGGCACTTGATGTCTTCTTAGCACTGTCAACAGGGAAAGAAGGGACAAGTATCTGTCATGGAGACAGAACAGCATTCATGTCCCAATATGTGACATTTCCTGCTTCTAGATGTTATAAAGTAGGCAAGTCAACAGACTGGAAATTTCAATGTAGATTTTCATGCAGGATCCTATTGGACCTACCACGTTGCCCAAATGCCTGCTTACTGTCTCCCAAAGCAGTTACTCTACTCCGAACTCAAGAATGGAGAATGAAATGTTGGAGGACAGGAAAAGAGATTTAAAGATGGGCTCAAAGCCAACCTTAGAAACTGTGGCATAGACACAGAGAACTGGGAAGTCCTGGCCCTTGAGCGCTCTAGCTGGAGGTCAGCTGTGACCAGCAATGCTGTAGAATTTGAAGAAGCACGAATGAAGGGCAAAAGAGAGAAACATGCCAAGAGGAAGGTGCATCAATCCAACCCCGACCGGGACCGCCTACCAGCTGGAACCGATGGCCTCACTGCAGGTCAAGAATAGGACTCCACAGTCACCTACGTATCCACCGCCAGGACACCGCACTTGGAGAACAATCTTACTTGGACAACAGGGATCACCCATTGTATATTGCTAGAAAGTTAATAGGAAGTATAAAAGGAATGCCTTTGAATCCTGATTTCAGTTATGTGAGATTTTATAGTGATGGAAATGCAAGACTATTGAAGGTTGTAGCACTGATAGCTTGGAAGTTACAAGAGCCAGGTAAAGTTGTTAAGCTATTTTCATTGTTAACGGCCACAAGAGCTACAAGCTGGGTAGATGCGGGGAATGCCATGGATGTAGCGTACCTGGATTTCAGTAAGGCCTTCGACA